GAGGCCGTTTGCTGCTTGAATGCCGCCGTACCACTTATGGGTAGCAGAGGAGAGGCCTGATAGGGTGGTGGTGTCGGCGGTGTTGGTGGCGGCGTCGATGAGCAGCACAGAGGTGGCGTAAAACGGAACGCCGAAGATGCGGCCGTTGTCTGCCACCACACCACTAAACCACTTGCCCGTTCCCACACCGAGGGACTGAATGGTTGTGGTATCGGCGGTGTTGGTATCGGGATCGACGATGAGCATGGTTTCTCTGTGTGATGGAAACATGTAGACGAGACCGGTGTGCGCCAGCACCGCATCGGACCATTTGTCACTGTCGATGCCCAGCTCGGAGATGGTGGTTGTGTCGGCGGTGTTGGTGCTTGGATCAATGATAAGCACAGACTCTGAGCTGAAAGGTGCAGCGTAGATTAGGCCGTTGTTCGCCAGCACCCCGCCAGCCCATTTGAAGACGAGAGTGCCAAAATCGTCGAAGGTGAATGAGCTTGCGCTGCACGCCTCGGCTCGAAGGGCGTCGATTCGTCCCTGCTGAGCGGTGATCGTGTCCTGCTGTATGGCAATCATGCTCTGCTGCGTCTGCACGTTTTGCTGGTACACCTGCAACATGCTCTGCTGTGCAGCCACTGTCTCAAAGAGCGCATCCACGTTCATCCCGTTCACAAACACGGGCTGGCTCGCTGGATCGCTCGTGTTGATGTGAAATGCGCCCACATCGTCCTCCACCAGCGTCACCTCTCCAGCAACGCTGCTTATGAACGGCATCCAGCACACTGCCGCCGCCACCAGCAGCAGCGCGGGGAGCAGCACCAACCCACCTGCCTGCAGGCACCCCATCGTTCTCATCGGTGCCATCATACTCCAAGTGGGTGAAGAAGAAGAGAGGAGAGGAGAAGAGGAGGAGAAGAGTAGAAGTAGAAGTTAAGTGTGCCTCATTCCTCCTCGTTCGCGTGTCTGTTCGCAGGACAGGCGCAGCACCAAGAGAAGAGGAGACAGGATTGGATTGGTTTGTTTGTGGCGTTTTGGCTGTGGTTGTGGTTGTGGACGATTGTTGGGCATCATGCATTGGATTTCCAGCCACACACAACACCACTGTTGTGTGTGTGTGTTGTTGTGGGAAGGAAGCACGTTGAAACGCATCCATCCATCTATCCATCCATCCTTCCATGTCCTCAGTCTTCCTTCCCTCAGCCTTCCTTCATCAGCTCGTGACTGGACCTACAAGGACAGAGCACACACAGCACACAGCTTCATCACGCAGTGCAGAAGAAGGGCGTGAGTTGAACACATGTGAAGGAGGCAGCCATCGTGACTGAAGAATACACTGTTCATCCAAAGGTGCGTGTGTGTGAGTGTGTGTGAGGTCATTCCATTACATTGCATTGCATTGCATTGCTCAGCCTTGTGTGCTCAACACACGTAAGCGCATACGCACACATACATCACACACACACTCACTCGCCTGCAACGCTTCCTTCCTCGTCTCAGATCCGTGCAGCGTTGCAAGGCTGATGAATCGTACATGCTGTGCACCGTCAAAGCCCCCATTGCCGCCTACCTCACTTTCGACGACGTTGTCTGCATCGCCAAGGAGCAAAAGGTGTGTGTGTGTGTGTCTGTAAGAAGCGTACCACTGCTGTGATCTACAACACTCATCATCACCTACATCCGACCTCATGCCCATGCACGCGCATCACCATTTGTGTTGTCAGGGTCGTTAAGGTTGCCCCTTTCCCCGCGCCTCCGATGTCCGCCAACACCTCTGCCAGGTTTGCCTCATGTGCATGTGCGTGTGTGTGTCTGTGCTTGTGCTGTCCTTGTGCTGCGGTCACAACAGACGCACCTCACCTGTGATCGTGATCGTCCCTCAACCCTGTTCCTCTCCTCTCTCTCACGTCTGCTACTTCCCTCCCTCTCCCTTCCCCCCTCTCCTGCCCTCAGGACGCTGTTGCACTTGGCCGCTCCCTCAACCACCGCAACACCGACACCGTCGAGGTCCTTGTCGACACATCCGATGGCCGGTGAGCCAGTGTAGCAGTGTGGTGTTGGGGTGTTGGGGGTGGAGATATGGTGTTGTGGTGCGTGCATGCACTCGTTTGGTGTTGACAAACATAATCGCACCTGCCCCAACACTCACACCAACCATCCAACGTGCGCAATGTGGTGCAGTCACTACTTCAAGGAGGTGAATCTGCGCATTCAAGTCGCGGAGATGGTGAGCTGTGGTGGTTCGGTGAAGCAGCACTGTTGATGGTGCTTTGTCCACTTTGATGTTTGTGGCGTACTGTTCTGCTTCATTCCTCCCCCACCTCACTTACACTTCCTCCATCATCTCCTTCCTCTCCTTCTCCCTCCTTTATTCTTCCCACCAGGTGACTGGCGTTGACCTTGTGCAATCGCAGCTGATGCTTGCTGGCGGCGCGACGCTGTAAGATGATTGAGTTCGAACAGGACGCAATTGCCACCTGCGGATTCAGCATCCAGGTGCGCATCACCACGAAGGACCCGCTCAACGACTTTGCCCCCGATACAGGTGCACATGCGCTTGCGTGCGTGTGTTGGATTGAAGGATGGGAGAGAGAGCGGATTTAGAGAAGCTCATGTTTCCTCTTGGAACGCGGGCACCAGTGGCCGGTGTAAAGTCCAAAAGGCACGATTCTTCTCCTTCTCAACACTTCTTACCCCTCGTAACCCATCATCACCCACGACCATGCGCAGCGGAACGAGCCATTCACCCAGCAGCCGCCAGTCGGCCGCGAACTGGAGCCATACACAACAGCAGCACCACCACCGGCACATGGCGACGAGAAGGATGAGGGAGAGGTTGATGAGGCGGCACTTGGGCCGTTTGACGTGCTTGTGCACCACACGGGCATGCTTGAGCTGGTGCGCGCGCTCCTTGGGAAGCAGCAGGGCGTCATCAGCATCACACCACTGGACGAGCATCAGGGGCAGGTTGCCCGCGTCAGGTGAGCTGCTGCTGACTGGTTGGAGGTGTGCGGTAATGTTGGGGGATTGTAACCGGTTGAGGAGGTGTTCGTTGCATGCGAGGATCATGATGGGAATGACGACATGTGGTGGCGGGTAATGGCGCGAGGATGCGGCAGTCAAGTACTCATCATGTTTGTGTGCAGTTCCTCTCTTCATCCCGCACCGATACACCCTCAACTCACTCAAACACACACACACACACACACACACACACACACACACACACACACACACACACATGTGCAGCTGCGCGACGCGTGAAGTTGGCGAGCGCGTCCTGAGGGAGATGACAAACTTCCCTCTTGGGCAGGTGCAGCTGACGGCCCGCCGCGACCCGGACTGCCCCTCCTGGACGGCGGACGAGCTGTGGTCCGTGTGGGTTGAGCCCGTGCCCGAGGGTATTGAGGAGGTGCTGCCCTCGCTCGCCAAGGCAAACGGCGGCTTTCACTCGCACACATACAGGCCGGACGGCAACCGCGTCAGGGGCACATTCAGGTCGGCGATGGGTGTGTGTGTGTGTCTGTGTGTGTCTGTGTATGTGCATGCACAGATGTTCCTCCAACTCCATTCTGCATGAGCATGCGTGCGCTTCCCTCAACCACGTCCTCAACCAACCAAACAACCAACCAAACAACCAACCAACCAACTCCCCCTCACAACAGGTTTGTGTCGCGGGAGAGCGCCGAGCTGATGGTCCGCCTGTACGACCAGCGAGAGGTGCTGGGCACGAAGCTCAACGTGTTCCCAGACCCAAAAGGCAAAGAACTGGAAGAGCAAGGGCAACGGCACCACGTCCTCCTCCCCTGCCTCACCAACATCCACCACACCAGCGCCTGTTGCGGGCCAGGTAAAGCGCTTCACGTTCTACCTGAGCGAGGCAGCAACGCAGCGTGACAGCAAAAGGCCTAACTGCCGCCATGCCCTGGCCCACCAACACGTACTGCGCGGCGCGGGCGTCAACTTCCAGTCGCTGCAGGTCTTCCCGGACCTGCGCTGTGCAAGCGTGGACGTGGTTGCCGACAGCGAGGAGACGTTCTGGAGCCTGCTGCCACTGCCCATTGACACGGCGTTGAGCCCCTGTCGTCTGGAGGCGCGTCAGGCACCGCTGCACCGCATTGTTGTCACGTGCACCCCGCACAGCAAGCCCACCACGGGCCGCGACATTGTGCAGGCGGTTGAGACGAACTTTGGCGGCACAGCAAAGCTTGTGCCCATCCCGCAGTCCCTCAAGGACACGCAGTCCCACATCCATCCGTTTGCCAACACGCGCATGGCTGAACAACAACAAGAACAAGGAGCACAGCAGCAGTGTGAAGGTGGTAGTGAGGCACACGATGTTGCTGCCAAGCCCACGGCTGTGCACGACCCTCATCAGTACAAGAAAGACGGCGATGCTGACAGCGACGACAGCAAGAGCAGCGGTGCGTCCTCTGAGACGACGCTGCAGCGCGTGTTTGTGCTGGAGACGACAGACACGCGTGCGGCGCATGCGTGTGTGCGCAGGATGCAGTTTGCCACCTCTGTCTCGCACACGTTTGTGGCGCGGCTGTGCTACCCGAACGACATGCACGTGGCGGTGCTCGACCCCAAGCTGGGCGGCCTTCTGTCGGACCTCGTCGACGCATTCAACAAGGGCAGCGTGGCCAAGGACCTTGATGTGCTGGCGGCTGCAACCATGGGCAACCGCATCTGCTTCACGGGCAGTACCGCCGTGCTGGTGTGGTCGCAAGCCAAGCTGCTTGCAAGCTTCCTCGCGCCCGCCTTCCACCCGTTTGCCCGCAGCGACCGCGTGCTGGGCGACGACAAGATCATGGAACACGTCCTGAACGACTACGGCCTCAAGCTGGTCCGCTACCCGACGCCTGGCCTGCTGCCCTACGCAGACACGGCACACGGGGCCGTGCGGGATGTGTGGAATTTGTGAGGCCCCCCCCCCCGTCATCGGCACCCCGCCCATCGCATCGCCCGTGGCACCCCCAGCAGGTGCTGACACACACGCGCGACCTGGACGGCGGGGCGCCATGCTGCTGGAGTACTCGCTGTACTACTACCTGGACCAGGACAGGGAGCGTGGGCTCAGCTACATCGACAGCACCGCCGGCGCCAACATCAAGTCGCAGATGAAGATCAGCGTCTCGGGCATGCAATACCGCTTTCTGGACTCGCAGCTGCTGGAGCTGGCCCGCAGGTTCCGCGTGTATGTGCGCAAGCCCAGCGCAGAGGACAGGGACGCGTGCGCCTCGAGCGTGCCCGTGACTGTGGAGGGTATGCAGCGGCAGCTGACGGCGTTTGACAACGCGGTGCAGGACACGCTCAAGCAGTATCTGTGCCACGTGCTCGGCTTGCCGGTCATTGACACGTCGCACGTGCCGGAGATGTCCGAGTCGGACGTCACCTTCCTGAAGCGCAAGCTGTTCAACTACCTGACCAAGGCCGGCCGCACGGTGTGCCGCAGCAAGGACGACGTGGTGAGCTACATTGCGCCACAGGACGTGATTGGCACGCCCACTGAGCGCAACGTGTGGATGGTGGCTGGCCGCCGAGATCTAATGCAAACGGTCATCCCAACGACGGAGTCGACGTTCCGCACCATTGCCCACATCCGGCCCACGCGGTACGTGTGCCAGGTGCCAATGTCCGTGACCAAGGAGCTGAAGCGTCTGCGCAAGAAGGCGTTGGTGCTGATGTCAGTTATACCGCAAGCACGGGCGCTCCTTCGGCAACTGCAAATGCTTCTGCTGCCACTGCTTCTTCTGCTCCTTCTGCTGCTGGCGACGATGGCGCAAGCCGCGCACGTAGGAGTAACATCACAACAGCGAGCAAAGGGTGTGTATGATTCTGGCAGGGGCGACAGCCTGTCAACTTCAGTGCCCACGCCGTGCTTAAAGGCCCGCGCATGGAAGTGGTGGCGGCGTCGGAAGTGATGTTGCTGACCACGTGCGAGAGGCTGTTCCCGGCCAAGGTGAAGCAGGCCGTGTGGGAGGTGGAGCCATACCAGTACCACACCATCAGCGAGACGCTGCTCGCGGTGCAGCTGCATGCGGAGATTCGCGAGGGAAGCATCACCAACGACCGCGACATGAACGCCGAGAGGAGCGGCCCCCTTGCGGTACAACGAGGCGCGCGTGACCACGTCCGGTGCGCTGGCCCTCTCGTCCAACATTGAGCACGTGCTGCACGTGGTTGCGCCAAACTTTGCACCCGAGTTTGGCATGGCAGCACGGTGGCGCAGACGGCTGCGGACCTGACGACGGCGTACCGCGCGCTGCTGACGACGGCGCGGGACAACAACATCCGCTCGCTCGCCACGTGCGCGCTCGGGTGCGGCGCCTTCCCCTGCTCCCCATACGCATCTGCATGCACGCTGTTTGAGGTGATTGACGAGGTGGGCCGCGACGGCACGCTCTTCGACACCATCCGCGTGACCATCATCACCAAGGACGTGAGCATGCTGTCGGCGTTTAAGCAGACGTTTGAGAAGTACTACGGCGAGAAGGTGGGCAGTGGGCTGTATGAGGACCTGCAGCGCAGCGCACTGGATGGGTTGGCCGACGAGACGCCAGCTGACCCCATCCAAAGTGGCTGTACACGGGGCCAACGTACACGGAGCCGCCCTCCAAGGCGGAGCTGGACAACAAGGCGGCGTGGAACGGGCTTACGCACGACGCGAGGCTGCTGATTGAGAACGCCTTCAACAAATACCATGCAGCCATCGCTGCCAAGTGCAAGCGCAGCAATGCTGACAACGACGGATGACGTTGGTGGTGGTGGTGATGTTGGTAATGGTGGTGGTGGTGATGATGGCAGTGATGGCCAGAGGTGGCAGCGTCGGTAAACACAAGGGTGTCGCTGCTGGCGGCGTTGCGGCGGAGCATGCGCGCGAGATGCCCAAGTTGATGGTGACAAAGCCGTGCGGGCGCTTCCCCGACAAGTACCTGCACAAGGAGCACGACAAGATGAGTGAGGAGGAGGCCGCCCGCGTGGTGGCGGATGCCCGTGCAACTGCGGCTGCGGAGGACGAGCGCAACATGCGCCGGACGGTTGATCCAGATGTCCTGCAGCGGTGGCTGGAGTACAAGAACCGCAAGGCGTGGAAGTCGGCGTGCTTCTTCAAGATCCAGTGGTTCACCGCTACTTCACGGTGGACTTCCAGGACCACTGGGTGTACGTGAGTGGAGCACGTGGGCATGCACAAGAACGACCTGCGCCTGAGATTGAGTGCGTGCGGCGGGTGGTTGGACGAGCAGCGGTCGAAGCTGGAGCCAAAGGCCATCTTTGAGATTCCGGACCGCTGGGACATGCGCGAGGGTCAGCTGCTTGTTGATGTGACCAACGAGGACGAGCTGGGCCACGTGCGTGCGCCCCCTGTTGGAGCCGCTTCGCCCACGAAACCTGCGCGTGCAGCGTGTGCAGAACGTGTCGCTGTTCAAGCGGTACTTGGAGAGCGTGCACCGCGTGTACTGGCGGCCCGCGCCACCAAACCTGTCCAGCGTCATTGCGCCGCCCTCTGGCGACGACTACAACGTGTTTGTGCACCGCCTGCTGCATGGCATCTGCAGGAGCGAGCTTGACCTGACCATCAACTACGCCAGCGCGGAGGGCTACTTTCGCCCGGGCCTGTATTTCAGCCGCGACCCGTCGTTTGCTGTCAAGTGTGGCCACCACGAGGGCAGCGCAACAGGCAAGAACGACACCGCCAGCGAGCGGCACGTGTATGTCGATGTATTGACGCCCCAGCCGAATGACGTTGCTGATCATGGTGCTGATGATGATGTCGCTGCAACTGCTGTTTCTGCTGTTTCTCGCCATGGTGGTGACGAAGGAGAAGGAAGCGGCCGCGTTGCTGCTGGTGAAGAGAGTGAAGGGACTTCAGGTGGTGCCGAAGGTCCTGGTGGACGCATGACTGCTTCTGCTGCTGGTGGGACTGTGTTCTACATTCCGTTTGCGGTTTCGACGGCGATACGGACCTGTTTGTCATCTATGACAACGGCATGTGCTACCCGGAGTACATCATCTACTTTGACGATGATGCTGTTGATGTTGAGGAGGAAGTGGACGAATCAGAGGATGCGAAAGAAGAAGTAGTCGCGCCAGTCGTCGGGGAGGGGGAGTGATGATGACCGTGGAAGTGAGCCTACTGCGAAAGTGGAAGGTACTGAAGTGAGGGGCATGCGACTCACGGCTGGGAGTGAGGATGCCGCTGATGGCGGTGGTGATGGTGGCGATGGTGATGATCCGCCACGTGATAGTGGTGATGGTCCGCCACGTGATGGTGGTGATGATCTGCCACGTGATAATGGCGATCAATCACAGCGACCCCTGCCACCCCAAAACGATGCTCCCGGTGATGGTGCTGTCGCTGAGAATAACGGCTACGGCGCGTACGGAATCAGAGGTAGCCCCCAAGACAACAACAACCCAGAACAACAATCCCAACAACAACCAGAACATTCTTGGCAATGCCAGCTGTCTCAACCTTGGCTACAGTCAGTCGCTGCTGGTGCCTTCTTGAAGGACCTACAAGCTAGACTAGTGACAGTTGGTCAGATTGGTACGCCAGTTTGGTTGTCTTGCGTTAACGAGGGTTGCGGGGTGGTTTGTTTCGTAGCAGGTGTTGTTTGAAGTGGGTGTTGTTTGAAGTGGGTGGTGTTGGCCTGCTTTGCGTTTGTTTTGCTTCCCTCCCCCTTCTTTCCTGTTCTTTGTTGGTGTTGCTGTGCAAGACTGCACAACGCCGTTTGTCACACATTCCTTGGAGCTATCCAAGCTCACGTGTGGATGAATGAAGCCTTACTTGCGTGCGGGATTGCGCACGTTTGTTGGTTTGCGTGTGTGCGCGTGTGTATTTAACTGTTGAACCATCTTAACTTTTCCTTGGTAGAGTCTTGAGTGAGTGAATACATGCTCGCACTCAGCGCATTCGTTCTTGATTGAGAGTGCGCGTTGCTAACAAGCTTAACCATGGTCGTTGTTGTGAACGGAAACTCATACATGTGTATGAACCGAACAATGAAAGTAGAGTGCGTGAGTGGAAGAGTGCGTGGGGGTTGTAAATGTGCGGTTGAACCCGTGTTGAACCCCAATGTTGATGTCACGTGGATGAATGCGCATTGGCTTGCGTGCTGATGATTCGAAGAACTGTGGTTGCCTTGTTGTACTGAAAGTGTTGTCTCTTTTCCCCCTCATGATCACTTCGTGTTCCACAGTTGTGGAACAGCTTCTCCCGCCATCACAATGCATGCACATATTCGGTTGACGGTTGAGTCATTTCAATTGGAAGTGCAAACGAATGATGAGCAGCGTCAGGTGCACAGGACGCTATCACAGGGTTGGAAGAAAGAAGGAAGATGCAGAAGGGCACAAAAGTGTCGCACGCCCGCACAGACACAGAGACACACACATCAGCACCCAGGATCGATCACGAGAACGGACTCGGAATAAGAAGGGATGCCGTAGACGAGACCATTTGGGGCGAGCACACCACCCCACCAGCTGTAGGATCCAGCAAGATCATCGATAGTCGTGGTGTCGGTGGTGTTGGCGGCTGGGTCGACAATTAGGACGGATGGCGAGCTGAATGGGATGCCAATGATGTTGCCATTGGGTGCGAGCACGCCACCAACCCATTTGATACTGGATGTCTCAGCTACAACAAGAAGCTCGTTGGTGGCGTTTGTAGCTGGGTTGATGACAAGTGTCGTTGCAGAGAAAGCTGGTATGGCGTAGATGAGGCCATTACGTGCAAGCACGCCGCCCCACCACTTCTTGCCAGTGCCGAGGCCACTGATGGTGGTGAGGTCCATCGTCAAGGACTCAGGGTTGATGATGAGGATGCTTGTAGCATCACGTGGAATGCAATAGATCAAACCATTCTCCACCTCCACACCGCTGTACCACTTGTATCCCTCGCTCGACAGCCCGGACAGCGTGGTGATGTCGGCTGTGTTGATTTCTGGATCGACGATCAGCACAGACGTGGCAGAGTACGGAATGCCGAAAATGAGGCCATTCCTCGCCACCACACCACTGTACCACTTGTAGCTACCAGTACCAAGGGAGTGGATGCTCGTGGTGTCAACCTCATTGGTGTCTGGGTCGATGATGAGCATGGTCTCCCTGTTTGAAGGGAACATGTAGATGAGGCCGTTGTGTGCCATCACCCCACCAGCCCACTTGGCTGGATCCGTTCCAAGTCCCGAGATGGTGGTGGTGTCGACGGTATTGGTCCTGGGGTTGATGATGAGTACAGAAGGCAAGTTGAATGGTGCAGCGTAGATCAGTCCATTGTTTGCCAGTACACCCCCAAACCACTTTGCGCTCGTTGAACTGAGTTGCCCAAATGTGCTGGCGCTGGGAGTGCACACTTTCCCATAAGCACGATCGATCGCGCTCTGCTGCGCCGACACGGTACTCATCAACATACCCAAAGTCTCGTGCACATTCATCCCGTTCACAAACACGGGTTGGCTCATTGGATCGCTCGTGTTGATGTGAAACGCGCCCACATCATCCTCCACCAGCGTCACCTCTCCCATGCAAAGGCCGGAACGCTGTCCAATCAACGCCAGCAGCAGTGCTCCCAACAACAAGAGGAAGAAGAAGCGGGGCGTCATGCTGCTCTGAGGTGCGCGGGGAAGGGGGTGCTTGGGTTGGACTGGCAAGGACAAGTAAAGAAGGAGGAAGGAAGAGGAGAGGGAGCAAGAGAGAGAACTGAGAGAATGGGGTGGTGTGTTCTGGCGTTTTGGATGTCTGCTGTCTTCCTTTTCATTGTAGATTGTTGGTGGCAGCGTTCACAACTCTCCGCATTTGGTCGTGTTTGATTCTTACGTGATTCCCTCTTGTCCTCTCTTCTCCGATCTGCTCCTTGTTTCGTGTGTCCGTTTGTCCTGCGCACAAGCCGACGACTTCCTTCTGCCTGTCTCGCTCCTCCTTCACAGTTGGTGTGACACCAAACACAGGCGAGATCGACACATACTCTCTCTGGACGCTCCTCCGACCTTACTTGCACATCCAGGAAGCAAAATGACGAGAGCAAAGAGAGCATTGTTTCATCGGTTGATGGTGTTGATGCTCGCGCTGCAACAACAGTACCAGCAGCAGCATGGGTGCGTCCTGGGAGAAGTGGTGATGGAAGAGGATGCACACGGCGCACTGCACATCAACACCAGCAATCCCATGAAGGAGCCCGTATTTGTCAACGGAGTGGACGTTGGCGAGGAGATTGCGTCGTTGCGAAGTACAGTTTCAGCGCAGGCGAGGATGCTCGCAGAAGAGCGAGGCAAGAACAACGTGTTCGAAAACCGTCTTTGTGCAATGGGTGTGCCGCCGAGGGTGGACACGACCACGATCGCTGGTGTTGGAAGTGCAAAGGTGCCTGGTTTGGCGCAGTCTTAGCCCACAATGGCTTGATCTACGGTATACCGTTCAACGCAGCCTCAGTGCTCATCATCGATCCAAGCACCAACACGGCTGATACAACCACGATTACTGGGCTCGGTGCTGGAATGGGCAAATGGGGACGTGGCGTGATCTCGCACGATGGCCATATTTTTGGGTTCCCTCGAGCTGCAACGTCTGTGCTCATCATGAATCCAAGCACAAACACAGTTGACACCACTACACTTGGTGGACTGCCTGGTGGCGATGACTGGCGGAGCGGTATTATCGCGAGGAATGGTGTCGTCTATGGTGTTCCGTGGCACTCGCCTTCCGTTCTCGTCATTGATCCTACCACAAATACCACCGACACGACAACAATCATTGGCTTGGGTACTGGCCGAGAAAAGTGGCAAGGCGCCACTCAAGCTGCAAATGGCCTCATCTATTGCGGTCCAGCGCGTGCTGAGTCTGTGCTGATCATTGACCCGGTGACCAACACAGCTGACACCACGTCCATCCCCGTCATCGCTGGTATTCGCAAGTGGCAAAGCATGGTGCTGGCCAACAATGGTCGCATCTATGGCATTCCATCAGGCTCTGGCGTTGTGCTGATCGTCGATCCAGCTACCAACACTATTGACACCACGTCAGTGACCGGCCTCTCAACCAGTGACTACAAATGGATTGGTGGAATCCTTGCACCCAACGGCCTCATTGTGGGCACCCCACGAAGCGCTGAGACAGTTCTCCTTATCGATCCCGAAACTAGCACGGTCGACGCCACATCACTTCCTGTTCCTTCTGGAGATGACAAATGGTTTGACGGAGTGCTCGCCAACAACGGCCTCATCTATGGGATTCCGTCCAGTTCAGAAGACGTCCTCATCATTGACCCCGGCTGCTAATTGGTCGGCTGGCAGGCGAGGTCATCATCGGTTGCGAGACTTGTTTGAAACTGTGCGCGTTCGTTACTGTGCTCATCTTTGTGTTGTCGCATGTGCTTTGACACGACCTGTGCTATTTCCTCGTGAGTTCACTTTGTGTGTTTTCGTGTGTCTTGTGGCTTCGCTTCCGATTTGATGCCACGTTCTGCGTGCACTTGCTGTCCTGTGTGCTGTGTTGCTTGTTGCTTTTGGTTGTTATGCCAGTTCGACCTTTATGTTGTTCATCGCTGCATTGGCGCTTCTACTTGTGAGTTGCAAGTGAGTTGATGGATGAATAAATGCAACAGTGTGATGTTAGGATGTATGAGCACACTTGACTGTGTTTGCATGCTGTTGTTGCTGCGCCTTGTGTGTCATGCTTGTTGCTTCATGTCTTCATGTGCATCCAGCACGCGGCAGACAACCAATTTCCACACCAACAAAGTACTTGAACAGCGGCTGCTGGGGAAAGCTGAGCAGAGGGCAGAGCACACTGATCTCGGGTGCCGTGGTGAAGCATGATGGTGTGTTCGTTGATGTTGTGTGTTTGGTTGGGAGGAACTACTGCGGGATGGTGGGGGTGATGACACGACGTGTTTCGTAATGGGAAACAATGAGATCACACAAAGACTAGTGCTGTGGTTGTTCTTTCACTGGTCGGGTTCGCACCGCATGGAAGGTGTGTCACAGGAGGCAACGAGGGAAGAGAACATCACGGGCAACAAAAGGGATGTAGGGGTGGGGGTGGAGGGAAGGGCATTTGAGTCGTGGGGTTGAAGTACATCACGGAGAAAAGGGAACATGTCTGCAAGCACGCAACCAAACACACAAACACACACACACACACAAACACACACACACACAAACACACACACACACAAACACACACACACACACACACACACACACACACACACACACACACACACACACACACACACACACACACACACACACACACACACACACACACACACACACACACACACACACACACACACACACACAAACACAAGTCAGCACCCCGGGTCGATGACGAGGACGTTCTGAGCAACAAGAGGGATCCCATAAATGAGGCCGTTGGTCGCGAGCACGCCGCCGAGCCATTTTCCTAATCCAGCAAGATCATCGATGCTGGTGGTGTCGCTGGAATTGGTGGCCGGATTGAAGATGAAGACGGATGGTGCGTCGTGTGGAATGCCAACGATCAGTCCGGTGGAACTGAGCACTCCTCCAGCCCACCTTCCTGATCCGTCCTGATTGACAGCATCAAGTGTGAAGGTGGCGTTGGTGGCTGGGTCGATGACGAGCGGTGTTGCAGAATTTGCCGGAATTGAGTAGATGAGGCCATTGTTCGCAAGAACACCACCACGCCATCTGAATCGGACATCCAAGACCGCAAGTGGTATCAGGTCCATTGACAGCGATACCGGGTTGACGACAAGTATTGAAGCCGACGCACTTGGAACACAATAGATGAGACCGTTGTCTGCCTGGGCACCGTTGTACCATTTGTTGCCATCGGAGGAAAGTCCAGATAATGAGGTGATATCCGCTGTGCTTGTGGCTGGATCAATGATCAGCACGGAAGTAGCAAAGTTGGGGATGCCAATGATGAGACCGTTGTTCGCAAGGACCCCGCTAAACCATTTGCGGCTACCGCTTCCGAGCGACTGAATACTCGTGGTGTCGGCAGTGTTTGTTTCAGGGTCAACAATAAGAAGGGATGGTCTTGAGGCAGCCAACATGTAGATAAGGCCATCCTTCGCCAAAACGGCGCCAGCCCACTTGTTGATGTCAGTTCCAAGCTCAGCCATAGTGCTTGTGTCGATAGCGTTGGTGACTGGGTCGATGATGAGGACCGACGGGGCATTGAATGGAGCGGCGTAAATCAACCCGTTGTTAGCCAGCACGCCGCCACTCCATTTGCCCGGCCCCGAAGGGAGGTCTCCAAACGTGTGAGCTGCCGCCTTGCACACCTTAGCTCGCAAGGCATCAATCGCACTCTGTTGTGCGTCGTTGACCCTCTGCTGTGCCGCGTTAGCACTACGCTGTTCCTGCAATGTCGACCGGTACTCCTGCAGCATGCTCCGGTGCGCATCGATCATGCTCTGTTGCGCCGAGACTGCCCCAAACAGCACATCCACGCTCACCCCATTTACGAACACGGGCTGGCTCATTGGATCGCTAGTGTTGATGTGAAACGCGCCCGCATCATCCTCCACCAGCGTCACCTCTCCAGCAACGCTGCTGATGAACGGCACCAAGCATACTGCCGCCAGCAGCAGCACGGGGAGCACCAGCAACCCACGTGCCTGCAGGCACCCCATCGTTCTCTTCATCGTACTCCGAGTGGGTGAAGAAGAGAGAAGAGGAGAGGAGAAGAAGAGTAGAACAGGAGAAGGAGCAGAAGTTAAGTGTGCCTTCCTCCTTCCTCGTTCGTCTTCGTGGTGTGTGTTGGCAGGACAGGCGCAGCACCAAGAGAAGAGGAGACAGGATTGGATTGGTTTGTTTGTGGCGTTTTGGCTGGTTGTGCTTGTGGACGATTGTTGGGAATCGTGCATTGGATTTCCAGCCACACACAAGCAAGCAAGTTCACTGGTGTGTTGTGGGAAGAAGGAAGCGCGTTGAAACACATCTCATCCATCATCCATTTCTTCCTTCCATCCAACTTTCAATCAGCCTTCCTTCATCAGCTCATGACCGGACCAACAAGGACAGAGCACACACGGCACGCGATGTCGGTGTCTTGCTGCGTTGTACCCACACCACGGCTTCATCACGCAGTGCAAAAGAAGGGCGTGAATTGAACTGATGTCAAGGAGGCAGGCATCGTGACTGAAGAATACACTGCTCATCCACAGGTGCGTGCGTGTGTGAGTGTGTGCGAGATCACTCCATTGCATTGCATTGCATTGCATTGCATTGCTCAGCCTTGTGTGCTCAACACACGTAAACGCATTTGCACACATACCTCACACATTGCTTCATATGACACATGCTCACACCCATCTGCCTATCTTCCATTGTGCTGGTGCACCTTACCTCCTCTCGCATCTACGTCGTGTCTGACATCGTGACGCTCTCGTCCCCCCGCCACCACCTTCTCCACGCTGCCTCGCGCCTCTGTGAACATAGTGTCCACACAGCCAAGGACGCACACAGGTGCACCTGATGCACGCATGTGATGCAGCTGTCCCTCTGTGTCCAAGACACTCTCCAGCCACTGCTGGCGGTATCATGAGGAGTGTCTACCCTTCCTTCCTCCGTCTGGTTGGCACCAGCGTGCATGCGTGCAGCGCCTCCTCCTCCACACCAACATGGCACTCTCCTCACCAAGGCAGCTGCAAGCATGTGCGATGTCCAGTGTGGGCCAGCTGCCAGATGGTGGATGGAGGAGCAGAAGAACAACGTGAACCTGCTGCTGCTGCTGCATGTGGCCACTTGGCTCCACGACGACGACCACCACAACAACAGCCATGGCGTCTCCTCAGGCAAGGTCCACCGTGGCATGTGGATTGTGTGCTCAGAGCATTGCGGCCATCGTATGCGACAGCAGCAGTGTGTCAGGCCAACGGTGATCAAGACCACACTCATGATCGAAGACGAGACGGTTGCTGTCGAACATCTTGCTGAGATGTCATCAGGCGAGCTGGCAGACATTGTACGCCAGGGCGGGCACTCCGTTGAAATCGTCTCACTGCCACAGCAGCGTGAAGAGCAGCAGGAAGGTGTTGAGGTGTCAACCTCCTCCACTTCAGCTTTGAGCACACCTGACAGGAAAAAAGTGGCGCCTTCCGACAACCACCAAGATGCTGTTGCCGACACTCTTCATAAAGCCATCACCCCACCCCAGCACAATAGCAGCTCCTCACGCCTCTGACAGCACTGACACCAAGTTGCAGGTGCGTGCACTCTATGTGTGTGTGTGTGTGCACATCCTCACTTCGACACCTCCTCACTTCCACACATAATTCTCGCTGGTACACACTGCATCTACCGCTGCGCTGCACTACAGGCATGTCGTGCACCTCGTGCGTGCCCAACATTGAGGGCGTATGCGCCAGCGTGCACAGCAATGTGTTGTGTGGGCCTGCTCGCTGGCACCGCGCCGGTGAAGCCCTGCAGCCATCATCGCCAGCATCGGCGAGGTAGGATACAAGGCCCGCGAAGAAACGCAAACACCAGCACAAGGCATGACGTACCTCAGCATAAGGTATACGATGTGAGCAGCACTGCATCTGTGCTTGTCTGTTTTGCTTGCTTGCTTGCACGGCTGCTTGTGTGCACGCATGCCTGCTTTCCGCTTCAACCTCTCACCCTCCTGCTGCTGCTGCTGCTGCTGTTGTTGGACATGCATGACAGGCGATGCTGAGGGCCGTGCCCGGTGTGTTCAAATGGTGCATGTTGATGATGCGTCGCGCCGTGTGGAAATCAAGCACGAGACCTACGCGACATGGTCACACGTGTGTGTGTGTGTGTGTGTGTGTGTGTGTGTGTGTGTGTGTGTGTGTGTGTGTGTTTGCACTTGTACGTGTCGCTTCGTCTTGCTTCTTCTCTGCTCCCCTCCAACCGCATCCCTTCAACGGACTCTGTGTCTGCCCTTGCTGCCGCGCCGTGCCACCCACCACCACTTGCTCACAAGAACGCCCTGTGTTATGCACTTCACACAACACCCATTTGTGACCGCAGCGCGCTGAAGGATGCTGGGGTACGCGGCGGAGCTGGAACACGAATCACCACCCACAGGAGCGAGATCCGCTTCTGCCCCATCACCTTCATCGTGTGCGCCGTGTTTGTTCGTCGCCGTCCACCATCATTGTTGCCGCGTGTGGCCAGACTCCAGGGATGCGCGCATGATTGACGACATGTCGCGACGCATAACCTCATCCTCATGCTGCTGGGTCTGATCTCCTTCATTTCCCGGTCGGCCGTTTCGTCCTCTCCGCGGTGCAGTCCACCATGCACGGCGCTGCCAACATGAATGTGGTGTGTGTGTGTGTGTGTGTGTGTGTGTGTGTGTGTGTGTGTGTGTGTGTGTGTGTGTGTGTGTGTGTGTGTGTGTGTGTGTGTGGTTTGTTGCGACCACTTCCGCGTGTTCTTGTCAAGTCCAGCACTGCAGTGAACGAGAGAGCGTTATGCGTGCCTTCTTTGCTCACGTTTGCATGCGTGCACACGTATCGCTGATCCACCCACACTTGCCCTTGCGTTGTTACAATTCCACCTCAGGGCTGCATACTTGCACTTCCTGGTGGTGCTCGTTATTGCACCCGCCTCCCACGAAGACTCTGACTGGTGGTGGCGACCTCTTCTTTGAGACCGGCATTCTCCCTCTTCACCTTTGTTTCGCCCGGGCGATACATCGAACACCTCGCCACAGGGAACACCTCCAGCCTGCTGAAGGAAGGTATAGTCAAGGCAACCGCGTGGAGGAGCGAATTGACACCGACTGGTGCAGCGCGGCGACGACCTGAAGGTGCGTGATGAGGGGGTTGGGTGTTGGAGTTGGTGGTGGTGCGTAACATGTGGTGGCGGGTGATGGCGAGTGGTTGGTTGTAGCTGCAGCAGCAGCAATGTGGCAGTTGTTGCCACCCTCAGCTGAGATTGTGGCAGCCGCCAGAAAATGCACTGTCGTTGCATCTCGCTCACCTTCCCTCACGTTCTTGTTGGCAGATGGTGGCTGGTGACAAAGTGCCTGTGAATTGGATGGACGCGTGCTGGAGGGTGCGGGTGAAATGGACGAGGCCATGATCACGGGGCGAATCAACACTCGTCTCGTCTCCAAAGGCGTTGACGGCATTGTCATGTGGGCGGCACCATGGTACTGCTACACACGTTGACAACGAGGGTGCTCAACTTTCAAAGGCGCCCATCCAGCAGAGGTGTGTGTTCTGCATACAACACGCGACACCAATGTTTCACACGTGCCTGTCAATGTTTCTATAGACATTCCCACTCACACACATACCCACACAATCTCTCGTTTCCTTCATCTCTCCTTTTTCTTTCCCAGATAAGCTGGCGGGGCGCTTTGTGTCAGGCATCGTGTTGCCATTGGTGTGTGGGTTGCGCTGCTGACCTCGGGTGCCGCTGACACATTCGTCTGACGAAGGCGACGTTCAACTGGTGTGTCTATGTGTGTGTGTGTGTGTGTGTGTGCGTGCGTGCGTGTGTGTGTGTGTGCGTGCGTGCGTGCGCGTGTGTGTGTGTGTGGTGCTCGCAAGTCGTGGTTAGAGAACACTCACATACTCACTCACACACTCACTCACACACTCACACACACACACTCTCTCTCACCCACACACTCAACTCTCCCTCCACACAGGCCGTGTTTGACAAGACGGGCACGCTGACGGTTGGATCTCCACAAGTCATGTGTGCGCGTGCTCGGCGATGATGACACGTGGACGGACGAGGACGCCCTGTTGAAGCTGGTGGCGGCTGCAGAGGCAAACAGCGAGCATGCCCCTGGGCCAGGCGATTGTGGCGCACGTCGGCGCTGTCTCCTGCAACGGACTTCAAGACATTCTCTGGTCGCGGCATCTCAGCAACCGTGGACAGCATGCCCATTGTCATTGGCATGCACATTGAGGTATTGGCATGCCCTTGTGTTGTTGGCAATCCCACAACATCAGCACCGAAATGTGGCAGACGATGCACGAAGACGACGAGACGCGTGGCTACACGGTTGTTACGTGCTCGGCAGACGGCAACCTCCTGCCTGGGCCATGTGGGGTCTCGCTGACACGTGCAAGCCTTCGAGGCGAAGAGAGCGGTGCGCCTGCTGCGCCCGCACGGCCTGACCATGGCCATGCTCACGGGCGACTGCGCGGTCCATTTGGGGCAGAGATTGGCATCGACAACGTGCTCGCAGCAGCGTGCAGGAGCTGCAGGCGAAAGGGCGAGGTGGTGGCAATAGTTGGCGACAACATCAACATTGAGTCAGCGGATGTCGTTCTGATGATTAAGGACAACCTGCTTGCTGAATGTGTTTGCTGGCCATGCACCTGTTGCATGCGACCGTGCTCCGCATCCACTACAAGCTTCATCTGGGCCGTGTGGTGCAGGTGGTGAACGCGGTGACGGGTGCGCTGCTGTTGCATCCTTGAGTAACCCCGCTGACGTTTGTGGCTTCGCGGCTTTGCGGCCGCAGCCATCCACTGGTCGTGGCAAGTGGCCACCTCTTCAGCAACGCCAACGACGGACGTGCACGCGATCCGCGAAATCACCAGCGTCCACGTCTCGGAGATCCAATCCATCGCAACAGCCACCACTTCGTCACCTTCTCCTGTGCTCCTGTGGCATCATTTTGGCGAGGGCCATGGCTTCATCGGCACCATCAGCATGTCTGCGAGCAGAGAGCAGCACCTGCTTGTGCCGGAGGCCTGTGTTTTGGCAATGTACAGCGTGACCTCCTCCTCCACGTCGCTGCGCTTGTCCCTGATCCACAGCCCTCTTGCAGCAGGGCACTCCTGGTCGCTGGCGGATACGGTGGCGCAAAGTGTTTGGAACGTGGACAAGCCCTGCCGTGTGGCCGCTCTGCTGCCCCCGTTTGGTGGTCAGCGCAGTCGATCAGAGGCAACAGCGGGGGTGTGCGCCAGCCCCTGGATGGGGAGCACGTCCTGACCACGCACACCCTGGAGCAGTGAAACATGACAAGTGTTGCCATTGTGCTGTGGAGCACGCGAGGATGGCAGCTCTCACACAGCACCACGCCGGCCAGTGCCAGCTTTGAATCAGCCGCATCAACACGCGACGCCAAGCAGGTTCTCCCGTGTGGCCGAGCTTCGCGGTGCCGGCTGCGTATTGTGTGCTCAGCTTCAACAAGGTCAACACCACGGCCGTCACAATTTGCCCTGCTGGCCATCTAGTTTCACCCAAGACACGATGCCTGGAGCCGTTGCCCTTGTTACCCACCACGCCGAGGCTGTGCCCGAGCTCCCCATCACCTCCCGTTCAATTGACTTGAGCAGTGTTGCTAAGCTGCAGCGAGCCGTGCGCATGTTCCCTGTCACCGTGAGCACTGCCGTCCAGGATGCCGAGACAGACACGCCGCTGTCTCTGTTGTCGTTTACGGCCAGCAAGGCCCGCCACGCGTCCGCACTCCGCGCCATCTTCAGCACCACCAGCGTGTCCTGGCTCGACTGCAGCACAGAGCAGTTCATCGTGGACAAGGTGTGTGAGTTCGCCAGAGCCTTCTTCAACCCTAGCGATGACAAGCCCTGGCAGGGAAGCCCTGGTCACTGCGCGTCGCCCCTGACGCACACACTCGTGGCAGACGTCATCCTGCTTGTGTGCACGTTTACAAGCGAGCTTGAGCTTGCGACCTCCACCGCCGACAAGCAGTACAACCACCACCAGCGGGCATGATTGTCTCACCAGGGCAGACAGGACATTCATCAGCGAGATGAGCAGCAGTACGTTTTGGCACAACCGGCTGAAGTTGTCTGGTGAGCTGGCCAAGCTTGAGGACCCTGGGGCGCGCGTGGTGCCACTGACGCGTGCAGCTGGGTTTGTGAATGACGGTCTACGGGCGATGCGGAGCTGTTAGGCAGCTTCGTTGTTCGCGTCTGCAGTGGCGTGGTACATGCTCACCGTCGCCCTCGTCAGTGGCAAGGACGTGGTACAGCTGCTGCTGGGTGCAGCCGACGACAACAAGTCGGTGGTGATCATACTGGTGCTGGGTGTGCTGGCTGGTTGTGGACATGGTGCAGGAGGTGCGGCAGTCACGGCTGTTTGGAAGCGACGAATGTGGTGTTGGTGTTTGTGGTGCGTGGCACGTACTCTTCCCAGCACGCACCCTTCCCAACATGCACTCTTCCCAGCACGCACACACGTTCCTTTCCACTGCTGTACCACCTACACCCGTTCCAGCCAGCGCATGATCCTGGCCCATCTGCTTCGACATGCGCCACTTCCTGCTCTGCTCGCCCTCGGCATCAGCATTGTGGCCGGGTGGACGTCGTTCCGGTTGCTGCTGCACAACGACAACACGTTGTCGGCCAACGGCCTTGCTGCTCGTGTTCAACAACATGCTGCTGCTGCTGCTGCTGGCGGACCTTGACCTGTGGATACCTTTGACGGCGACTACAGTGGTGGTGCTGGCTGCTGCGCGTCCTGCATATCAATGGTGCTGAACCTGCTGATTGCGCTCACGTCGGACTGCGCAGACATTGAGTTGCAGCTGCGGCGTGACTGATGCAGGAGGAGGAGGAGGGGGATGGGTGTGCGACGCTTCTTTCAAGTGTTGGCTGCAGCGTGCAGTGGCAGGGTGTGCTGCATGCGCTGAAGAAGGAGATGCAGCACAGCACGTGCAGAACGGCGTTGCCGACCATCGTAGAATGAATTGTGACATGACTTGCAGTTGATGGCGTTGTGTTGGTTTGTCTTTGCGTTGGTGTTGGTTTATTGCTTGCACTTTGCGTCGTTCCAAACCCCGCAATACATGCATGTTGACGACACATTCACTCATACGTACACAAAACGAGCAAGCGAGTGCGCATGCATACACACACACGTGCAATCAAGCAAAGTGGTGGTCCTTGAGTTCTCCAAACGATGGTCGTTCACGCGGGCTCTGCGCCATGCATTTGTACGTCAGCGACTGGAGCCACTCGGGGATGGCTGAAAGGCGTGTGCATGTGTGTGTGTGTGTTTGTGTGAGACAGAGACAGAGAGAGAGAGAGAGATGGACGCGTGGTCACGCAATCTAAACGAGCACACATGCACACACACACACACACACACACACACACACAACTCACCATGTTGTTCGCTGTCTTCAAACTTGAGCCGCTTTCCATCTGCCATCAGGTTGCTGATGGTGGCGAGGATCGGGCCTCGATACCCACTCCCCTTCTCCTGCTCGATCAGATCAGGTGGTCGCTGTGTCGCCACCTCCCACATCAGCACGCCAAAGCTGAACACGTCTGCCTCGAAGCTGTACTTGTCGCCCGTCAGTGCCTCTGGTGCCATGTACAGTGGCGTCCCCACCCCAGCCGTCAGCGTCATGCTCGTCATCGTTTGCAGTACAGCCTGCTGGCTGTACTGCGGATCATCATCATCATGGCTTGAGGACAGGCGTGTCCTTTGCTGCTGATTTCTGTCACGCGTGAAGCACTGGCGAATGGACCCAAAGTCCGTAATCTTGGCACGCAGCGACGATGATACCAGCACGTTGCCGCTCTTCAAGTCCCTGTAAAGTGGATGGTGGATGGGTGAGTGGAGATGAAGGGGTGAGCAAGAAGCACATGCCTGCAGACACGCACACACACACACACACACACATACTCACCGGTGCATCTGGTCGAGGCTGTGGATAAAGGCCATACCACTGGCGACGTCGCGAAGCAGGCGCAGTTTCAACTCCCACACAGTCATCGTCTCAACGCTTCTGTCGATTCCTGTGCTCACCAACGTCAATTCCTCACCCACGATCTCTGATGCTGTCACACCCTCCTCCACACTGTTTTCCCCGCTTTGCTTCCCTTGCTCCACCTCCGTTAACACTTGCTCCACGTCCTTCTCCAACAAATCTTTAAGGGACCCCAGAGCAACAAACTCCAGCACCAGGAACGGGCTGCCGTTGGGATCTGTCCCCGCACCAAAGAACCGCACCACGTGCGGATGCCGTGTCCGCTGCAGGAACTCCACCTCCTTCTCAAATTCCAACACCGTGCTCTCACCAAATGCCATGACGGCTTGCTGCAGCACCTTGACGGCCACCGTCACCGTGTCCCACTCTGCCATGAACACCACGCCAAATGCACCCGCAGCCACCCGCTTAATCATTTTCAGCTCATCGTATCCAATCTCCCACGCTTTCTTCAGCGCCATCACCTCTTCGTCCATCTCCACCAGCAATTGGTCCTTAAGCGCGTTGTCTGCTTGTAAACGCCTTTGCCTCTTGTACGTGCGGTACCCGAGGAACAGCAACGCTTGCAGTGCAAGCACGCCAGCGATCGTCCCCAGCACAGCCGGCACAATGTCGAGCTCAATTGGTTCGCACCGCCCGCGTCGCATCTCATGCCCTTGTGAGCACTGGCAATGAAAGGAGTACACAATCTCAGTGACTGAACCAACTAGCCCAGGGATCGTGTTATCGAAAAGATCAAAGTCTCCGCTCGAGAGGTGAAGCGCGCAATCGATGGGAGCGTCTTGCAGTTGTAGCACTGGCGCTCGAGGCCTGCGAGGAAAAACTCGTCCGTTGCGGCGGAGATTTGATTCGGATAGGGCGATCTCGTGTCCCACGATTCGGTTGACTTCGGCTGGGTCATGCAGCCACTTGTTCCCCGAGAGATCAACCACATCAAGGAGAAACAGGCATGTGGAAATGGTAGCCGGAGCAGACACCGAGTTGAAGTTGCTCTCGGCCCTCAGGTTCCGCGCAAAGAAAACACGGCGGCCCCACCGCGTGCACAAGGCAGTGCTGGGCTGAATGCGTGTGTTGCTGATGTCCAACACATCGATGAACGGCGCGTCAATCTGAGTTAACTGCGTGCAATCGGACGCGTTCAGCTCTCTCAGCGCGCTGGGGACGATGACCAACTTGAGGTGCTTGTTGCGTTGGATCTGAACAGTTTGGAAGGTTTTGTTCGTACAGAGATGCAACCTCGTGTGCCGTGTGTTGACGAGGCGAAACACGTCCACCTCGTCTGCCAGTACATTGCATACCATTTCCAATGGCAAAGTGCGGTTGTCGACGCCGGGCCATCCCAGTCCAATCACTCGAAGCTGAAGTGGCAGTTGCAGCAGGTAGCCAAGCACCTCACTCACGTCCACGTGTTGCAAGCTGAGGGTGCGCAGGTGTGGAGAAGGTGTCAAGTTGGTGGCCTCGAACACTGCTCTGCTCGTTTTGTCGTCATCATGCGCTGCGTCCAGCTCGACAGTTGTCAGATTTGGAAGAGTCAGAAGCGGTGTGAGATCGATCCTTTTGACATCGTGGTTCTGCATGCGCAGCACACGAAGTGCAGGCGCTTTCGTCATGTCTGGCATGTATTGCATGGGATTGTCGCCCAGGACGAGGGTGTGCAGGGAAGGCCATGGGTTGGGAATGAGAAACCGGGTCAGCTTGTTCGCCGCCATGTCAATGCGCTCGAGGCGTGGAAACTCTGTGTCAAACAGCCCGTCAACGTGACGAAGGCGATTGTTTTCGAAAGTGACCTCCCGCAAGTTGGGCGTGTGCGCGAATAGGTCGGGGGCTAGCACACTGAGGCGGTTGTTGTGACAGAACAGCCATTTTAAGCGGTAGCATGAATCAAGGAGCCGGTCAGGCAATGCTGTCAATTGGTTGTCTCTCAGGCTCAAGTCGCTCAGGGAGACTAAATCTCGAAACAGAGTTGGCTGCAGTGATGTCAGGTGGTTGTTGTTTAAGGACAGGTGGCGTAGAGAAGTTAGCCCAGCAAAGATAAAGTCTGGGAGGGACGTGAGGAGGTTCCCTTCGAGAACGACGTCATTCAATCGGCGGTTTGTCTGAAAGATGGTGGGTGGCAGGGAGGTCAGGAGGGTGCCACCCACATGCAATGTGTGCAGCTGCGTTAGGCCAGCAAACACGTGTGCGTCTAGCTGCCGAATCGGGTTTGCGCCCAGCTCCAGCCATGTCAAGTGCTTCAGTGAATGAAACGCGCCAGTGGGAATGTTGCCTTGCTGATGCTGTTGGAGTGGAGAAAGAGCTCATCCAGGGCTGTGAGTTTCTCGAATGCATCTGCTTGGATACGCGGAATTTTGTTGCGGTCCAAATCAAGCTCGACCAGGGACGTCATCAGTGCAACCTTTGGAACTGATGCAAGGGAGTTGTTTCGCAAACGAAGCGCAAACAGCTGTGCTGCATGTTTGAACCCCTCTTTGTCAACTTCCTGGAGTAGTGTGTTGTCTTGAACAGCCACCTCATCCAGGATGGGAAAATCGTTGAGCACGCTCAAATGAAACGCTGGGAACTGCACACCAGTGATGCGCACCGTCGTGCACGAGGTCCAGTTGCCATTGTTGACAATCCACTGAAGTATCTCTGCTTCAACGTGCCCTTGCAAAGACAAGTGCCTCACTGTCATTGACGCCGCTTGCAAAGTACTCGTGTCAGTTGTGCTGTTGACTGCTTCGTGTCCAGAAACCGTGAGGAACAGTACACCATTGGCGCTAGCTCCAAGGCTCCAGCGCACGAGCCATCAATAATGCTTTGCAGGGTTGTTCGTCGCTACCAGCGCGTCGCACGCGTGTGCATGAGGGGTGCGGTTGTGCGCTCTTGAGGAGGGCAGTGCATGCCGTGTCTGGTTGAGATGGGCTGCCTTTGATGGGTGTTGATTTCCCCCATTTCCCTCTTCAATACCGTTGCTGTTGCATCCAAAGGCCTGGCGTTCATCATGCGTTGGATCGATGACAGATCAATCATGGTGGAAGAAGTGTTTCGTGGACGCAACTGTCCAGTGGCGAACAGCACGCGATGCTCTTTGAGCGTTGTTGCAAGGTGCTTCAATGTTGTGTCCACGGAGGGGGACAGCGTGCGGTCCTTGGTGTTGGGAATCAGACGTGGAGAGGTGGAGATGTGGAAATGGGGTGGTGTGAGTCAGTGGCAGCTGCAAGTGCGATCGTGAACAGAGCAGATGGCACATCGTGGCAAAGAACCAAAACGCAAGGATAACAAGAGCACCACAACCGGAGCGGACAAGGCGAGAACACACACACACACACACTCACTCACTCACACACACACACACACACACACTCACACTCACAGCATCCTTCAAGCAGCCGTGATGCCATGGACACGAGTCACCGACTAGCCTGCCAACAACAACAACAGCAACAGTGGTGGCAACTGCAAGCACAGCGCCCAGCGATGATGAGGGCGAACAACAGCAGCAACAGCAGCAGCACATGGGAGAGGAGGAGGAGGAGGAGGAGGAGGAGGTCGCGGCATGTTGACACCAAAGGAAGGACAGTGAAGGAAGGAAGTGGAAGAAAAAGAAAACACACGAGAAAAACAAAACAAAACAATACACCAGGGAAGGAAAGGATTCCCAGTTTTGCTGGCTGTGTTTCCTTCTGCGCAAACACTTTCCTTCCTAATTTAATTGCCCTGCGATGATTTGCTTTGCAAGAGAAGGAATAACCTGGCACTTTTGGCAACACGCGCAAGTGGATTTGGCAAGGGTGCAGAATACAGAGAAAACAAGGTGTGGGTTTTGTTTTGTTGTGCTTTGTACTGTCGCGCACGTTGGCTTGGTTTGGTTGTGGATCAACAACAGCACTGTCGCTTCCACACTGCACACCGCATCAGCAGCTGCTCCCATCATCATGGCCGCCATCACCCGCACAGACAGCCAACGACGGCGTGCTTCCGAATGTGTGCTGCCTCCTTCTTCCACCTCATCGTTTACTTCCGAATGATGACAGCCACTGGCAGTGGCACAAACAAGGATGCATGCTGACAGCAGAACAGCAGCAACCGTGAAGACAACTGCGCAGTGTCACGACACCTCTTTCCTGCACTCCGTGCACGGCCACACCTCACTTCCCTTTCCTTCATCGTTATCATCATGGACGGCAACCTTTCTTCGCGCTGCACTGGCTTGGCAGTAACCACCATGAGACCATGTGAGATCGACATGCAGCATGTTTTGTTACCCTTTCTCTTGTCACCATGCTTTCTCTCAGACATGCGTACACACTACTGAACTGTGCAGTGCAGCCATCTCACGTTCACTGTGCGTGCGCCTTCCTGCGACCATCCCATTCCTGTTTTGCAGCGCGAGTGCTTTTGAATGACACCACCATCCACAGCCAACTCAACTCAGCAGCTCTCTCGCGCTCATACACATCGTGCTCGATGCGTGCATGCGTGACGATCTTTGCTGCACGCAAACGCTGGCGCAGAGCAACATGTGACTCGCAGTTCACCAACACGCACCTTTGCGCTGACGCTGCGAGAGGAGAGCAGCAACTGCAACGTGGCTATCCGAAGCTGAAACTGGACGATTGACGCGCTATGTGCTGCCAGGCAAGAGTAGCCGTCGCCTGTGTGTGGATCGTTGGCGGCGCCGACAGACGGCAACACAGTGCACTGTCACTCACTCCTCTTCATCGCGCAGAGGCGATGCGGGCGTTTGCGGACGTTGCATTGGTGGCATCCTCGCACACGTTGCAGCTGCTCCACGAGGGCATGCACGTGTTTGTGGGCAGGCGGGACGGATGGCAACGTATTCTTCGCCGCATGATTCGCCACGTGATTCGCCGCGTGATTCATCGCATGATCCGCCATTCTTCCTGCACCACGCGTTTGTGGACAAGCAGCTGTGGTACGACTGGCAAGTGACAACGCTTTGCAACAGCAACATGCCAGTATCCAGCATCGATGCTGCACATGGCGCTTTGCCGGATCTGAGGAGGTGCCGGACAGCGTGGCATCAACTGTGCGTGTGTGGTGAACTCTTAGTGTCTCCCTGTTTTCGTTCTTCTTGCCTTTCCTTTCATCCGCCATCCTTGATGGGGCCAGGTTGATGTCACATCATCTGACAGAAACGGCATCATGGTTTATCGTCCCCCACGAAAAACAGTGAACATGCGACAACGCACGGTGAGGAAACGAATCGTGTCGTGAAGTCACGTCAACGTACGGGAACCAAGAACAGAGGGTTTAGGTCAGTACGCAAATCAGTGCAGGTGGGTTTGAGCGTGTGCACAGATGTGATATCAAGGTGCAAGTTTGGCCTGAAGGTCACCATGTGTTCGTTGCGGACTTTGCATCGAAATGGTTTTTTCATCACTGACGTTATCCAACTCGATGGTAAGCGTCTTCGCAAGCTCCGCATTGTCGGCTTTCTCGAGTTTGAGGTTCTCGCGACCCTGATCTGCGCTGTTCAAAGGAGACCGAAAACGCCAGATCGTGCTCTGCTCCACACAGGTCAGGAGGTCCGCAGAATTGTCGAGACCTGTCAAGCTGCATACGAGAACATTTGTTGCAAGGGTGAGCGAACGAACTCACCATGCAATACGACACGCGTGCATCTGTTGTGGCCGGTGTAGAACCAACCTTTGATCATTCACTGTGACGTCAAACAGAGTAACTTCGAATGGACGATGCGTCTCGCCAGAGAAGTCTGGGTGCAGCAGCTTGCAGAAAGCAGTGTGCCCACCCTTGAAGCGGTTCAAGTAGTTTGTGCTCTTTCCCACATACATGATCCTTTTCTTCCCGTCATCAAGCTTGCCTGCCGTCACCACATACAGTGGCCACAGTGGCTCGTCCGTGTTGAGCAGCTCCTCCAACTTGTCAAGCAGTGTAATGCTCAAGGCCTCGCGGGCAGAATTTTCAATCCATTGCAGGAACGCGGTGGCACATGCTTCGCCATACTCCTGCGCACCGACACCAGGTGCTGCCTCAGCATGGTCGTGGTGAGCAGCGAATGCATCGGCTCCTTCCACAAGGTCTTCTGCGGCATTTTCAACGTCGATGCGAAGCCCGTCAAAGTCGAGATCAGCTTCAAGCGGGTACAAGTCTTGAAGCTCGCCAAAGGTGTCCTGGCACGGTAAATGATCGCAAGGTTACCATCTTTCTATCACATCCCTTCCACACATGCGAGAAAACTAACATGGAACAGAAGAAGCATTAAATCATCGATGGCACATGCTTCCACTTCGAAGTCAGCACGATGCTTCTTGAACGCCTTGATGATGTTGCGCACGTCAGCGATGGGGGCTCTCACGTCCCCCGCGTTCTGCGCGTTGTCAAGACTTGGGAAATCTTCAAGGTCTGACTCGAGGCCTGCTCACAATCACATCCCAACGACAGTGTGAGAAACGACACCGCTGCAAACGCAAGTACAGGATTTACTCACTAGGTTGCAATGAGTGGGGCCATGGACTAACCGTGTACGTCCACCTCTTGAACACTGTCAGCATCGTCGTCGCTGTATTGCTGCCTCACATGGTCCTCAAACTCACTGCCTTGATTGCGCTCTTGCTCCTCGTGCACTGCGTCCAAAAACGCCTGCATCTGCCCCTTCACAGCGTCGAACGTGTCCTTAAGGACCTGAAGAATCCCATGCCTCCTTTCTTCGATGGCGTCGGTTGCACTCTCCTTGTTGTTCACCACAAACTCGTTGTAGGCTGGTTCCATCGACACAGGGCGGAGCACAGGTCGCTCCGCCATTTCGTGCTTTCGTGGGCGCCATAAGTTCGTTTCGGGTGCAGTTTGACAACAGGCATTGCGCCGATAGCAGTAGTGGCAACAGTCGAGGGCAGAACAAAACGAAATGACGTGTGCTGAAGGGGTGGGGCTTGCTGGATGTCGCAAACGAAAAGTGCTGCGCCAAAGGGGTGTGGCGAACGCGGCTCCGGAAATTCCCGTTTGAAGAAAGGGGCGTGGTTCACAGAAACGCGTGATGTGATGACGCACGGTGTGTGGAACACCATGCAATGTGACTGCCGCAAGCTTCTTTGACACTGCATTTACTTCCCCCCTGACTTCGAATGAGAATGATTGTTGCGCTGTTGCTCTTGGTTGTAGCTCGAGTGGCGTGTGGTGGAAAGGGCCGGCTCGCTGTTGATGAGCTTGGAGCGCTTCACTTGAGTGCTTCAAACGGACAACCTGTGTTCGTGAATGGCATTGATGTGAGTTTGATGTTTGAGTTGCTGGGGCAGCAGAACCAAAGGGTTGAGGCCTCTGTGACAACAATGCAAAGACGTCTTGAGTATTTTGAACGCTCGTGCTGCTGCGTCAACAACAGGAATCCAACAATCAACTTGGATGTGAATGTAGGATTTGGCATTAATAAGTGGCGAGGTGGTGTGCTTGCCAACAACGGCCTTGTGTATGGCATACCATCCCATTCATCTTCGGTGCTGATCCTTGACCCCATTACAAAGACGGTTGACGTCACCTCCATCACTGGTCTCACGGACGTTGGTGGAAAATGGGTGGGCGGTGTGCTTGCTGATAACGGTTTCATTTTCGGAATACCGTCGGATGCTTCGATGGTTCTCATCCTGGATCCCGCCACCAACACAGCAGATACAACGACAATCGCAAATTTGGGACCCGATGCAGCCAAATGGAACGAAGGCGTCCTTGCCAACAATGGCAAAATCTATGGCATTCCTCATAACTCTCAGAATGTTCTCATCCTTGACCCCACCACAAACTCTACGGACACGTCAACTCTGGCAAATATTGCGGTCGGCACACGCAAGTGGCGTGGTGGAACACTCGCGAGCAATGGCAAGATTTACGCCATTCCATCTCACTCTCCCGCAGTTCTTATCATTGATCCATCCACAAACACCACAGACACAACGACGATTGCAAGCCTTGGTCCAAATGAATACAAGTGGTTTGGTGGTGTGCTTGCGGATAACGGCAAGATCTATGGAGTTCCGCACAACTCACCAGCAGTCCTCATCATTGACCCCGCCACGAACACCGCAGACACAACAAGCATCACCGAGCTTGGTGGAGAATCAGGCAAATGGAGTGGCGGCGTCCTCTCCAACAATGGCCTGATGTTTTGCTTCCCACACGATGTAGCTACCGTCCTCATCGTTGACACGAAGGTGGACACTTCAAGCATGATCGCCATCACAGACCCTGAATCGAGTGGTGAACGCTGGGACAATGGCGTTGTTGGACCGAATGGCCTTGTGTATGGGGTGCCTCTTGACGCAACTTCAGTCCTTACCATTCATCCAGGCTGTTAATTGACCCTGCAGCGGCCAACTCCTTTGGTGTGTTGGAACCACAACCCTTCTGCCCTTGAACACAGATTCATGTCTGATACTTTTGTTCGATTTTTCTTTGATCTCCACAAGGCTCGTGCACCACGACATACAGCCTGAACTTCAGTGTCGGTGAAGGAGTACTAAGGGATGGTTCTCTCTCTTCCTTGTGTCTGTCTCTTCTCCCCTTGCTTGATTGTTGTTACTCGGCTTTTCACCTTCTCCGCTTTACTTGCTCCTTCATCTCCTGCACAGTACACAGCAAGACCTTACTTTACATTAGTCACCCACACACATACACACACGCGCCACTTATGAACACGAGCAGTGTTCGCCCGTGCATGTTGAGGGGCAGTTTGTGAGCTCAACCCCTGCATCCACACACATGCATCCAGATATGGTGACACCAGTGCAATTCACAGAGGTGATGCTGGTTTGGAAGAGAAGAACGTCGCCGTCCACATTGGTGATCTGGCCAAACTGAAAAGAAGAGAGGGCGGGGTTGCGGGCAATGTACATATTCCCGCCCACGCTGACGATGTTGCCAAAGTCGACCGACGTGAGGACGTTGTATCGGAGGCTGAGGAAGCCGCCCACCATCGTCAGTGCGCCAAAGTCGATGTCAACCGGCCCGTTGCTGTCGGCATGGATATAGCCACCCACGCGGGTGATGCGTTTGAGATCCAACAGAGTCAGGTCGTTGTTGTGCAACGACATGTCTCCGCCGACGCTTGAGAGCAGGCCAAAGTCGATGAAAGTGAGGTCGTTCCTGGACAAGTTCACGTCGCCATCGATGGCTTGCATGACCCCAAACGAGAATGATGTGAGACCTTGTCCTTCCACGTCGATGTTTCCAGCTTGATCAATGGACACAGCCACGCCAGGGTTTGCTGCCTGCAGCAAGGTACTGGCCATGACATTCTTCTCGCTTGCCACAGCAGCCAGCACAAGCTGCAACGTGTCTGCGAGGCGAGCGGGTTCCCGCAGCTGACTTTGCATTTGCTCCACATCGACCCCATTCACCAGCACACGAGGTTGGTGCTTGACATTATTGTTGCTGTTGCTGGCTGTGGTGGTGTTGATGTACAGGGTGCCCCACTCGTCCTCCTCAATCACCGCTGCATGTGCGAACAGCGTATTGTTGTTGCTGCTGCTGTTGTCGTTGTTGTGGTTGGGGATGGTGGTGTTGTATGCACAGCAGCGCAAGGAGGGCATTGAGTGTGCTGAGTGTAAGGCAAGCGAAAGAGGAAGGACATCGCCTCATGACTGTAGGACTGTGAGAGGAGGGGGAGACAGAGGGAGACACATGAGTGACCTCGTTCTCTCTGCGAGGACCGAGGTCATGGGAAGATGAAGGGGGGTAGATGGTCTGGTGTGAACGCACCAAGCACAAACAAAAGAACAAGCACAAACACAGCACAGCCAAACGCCTTCTTCTCTGCTTCACTGCTTCCTGCTGTCTGTGCAGAAGGCTGATGTACGATTTCCATCACTTCTCCACACCCACACTCAGCACAACAGCAAGCAAAGAAGCAGGCATCCAGCCAGCAAGCAAGCAAGCAAAAGCAACAAGCAACAAGCCTGCCATCACCAGCTCGCCGTTCACAGTCATAATGATGATGATGGCTGCCCGCTTCCAACCCCTCCTGCTGTTGCTGGTGCTGGTCGTCGTTGCACGCGTGTGCGGGGAGGTGGTATTGGAGGAGGATAAGGAAGGTGCACTGCACATCAACACAAGCGATCCAGAGAAGGAGCCCGTCTTTGTCAATGGCGTGGACGTCGGAAAGATGTTCAAGTTGGTGCAGCAACAGGCCAGCATGTTGGAGGAGCAGGTGGGTGTCAACGATGAGCTGCAGCAGCGGCATGAACAGCAACAGGAAGCCCTCTGTCGCCGGTTTCCGCCGTCAACAGACATGACCACCCTGGCGAACGTCGGCACAGGAGACGCCGACTGGCTTGGTGGCGTGCTGGCAAACAACGGCCTCATCTACGGCATCCCACACCGCTCTGCTTCTGTGCTCATCATCGACCCGACGACCAATGTCGCCGACACAACGACCATCCCTGGCTTGGCCCCAGACGCGCGCAAATGGGGCGGTGGCGTGCTGGCACACGATGGCCTCATATACGCCTTCCCATACGATGCCGAGTCCGTTCTGATCATCGACCCCATGAGCAACAGCGTGGACAATATCACTTTGAGCGGGCTCCCTGCTGGCACTGGTCAGTGGATCAGCGGCGTGGTGGCTGCTGACAACGGCTTGATCTATGGCATCCCGTGGCGTTCCTCATCTGTGTTGATTGTGGACCCGGCCATGAAGACAACTGACACCACAACCATGGCTGGGTTTGCAAGTGGTTGCTGCCAGTGGTATGGCGGGGCGCAGGCGGACAACGGCCTCATCTACTCCGTTCCACGCGACCCCCAATCCGTGCTCATCATCGACCCAGCCACCAACACGACCGACACCACCTCCATCGCGGGGCTCGAAGGCGACGACAAGTGGCAGGGTACCGTGCGTGCGAGAAATGGCCTCATCTACGGCATCCCTTTCAAGAGTACATCGGTGCTTGTCATTGACCCGGCCACCAACACCACAGACACGACCTCCATCGCCGGCCTTTCATCTGAGCACGGCAAGTGGCGTGGAGGGTTGCTGGCGCCAAATGGAAACATCGTTGGCATTCCCGCCATGGAGTCAAGCGTGCTCATCGTGGACCCACGCACCAACACAACCAACTTGTTGGAACCATTTGCTGTGGACGCTGGCACCAACAAGTGGTATGATGGTGTGCTTGCTAACAACAACGGCCTCATCTATGGCCTGCCAAGTAGTTCGAAGGACGTCCTTGTGGTGGATGCAGGGTGTTGAGTGGATGTGTGCTTTGTTGTTGTGGGGGGGGGCGGAAGAAGACGGAGGTGTAGATGGGAGTTAACATGTGTATGGGGTAGTGCGGTTCATGTCTTCCTCCCCTTAGATCTGCTCTTCCTGCACAATGAGCCAATCGCACCACACCACTCCGCTAGTGTGGTAGCGTGCTCAAATTAGTTGCACGTGTCTGTGGGTGACAGCGCATGTCCTACAGACCCGCCCTTTTTCGATTCCCTTTCAATGCTTGCTGCCACACGCCAACCTCTGGCCTCTCCACCGTGACGCTGTGACGTGTGCCGAAGAGAAATCACATCATCCACCAGCAAAGCAAGCAAACATCTATCACACACTCGTTCTGTCAATCTATGCTTGGTCGTTGGTTCAAGTCAACAAGTCGGGTGTCGTGAAGACCTGACTGACTCAACCGTTCTTATCTTGCTTGCCAGCAAGCAAATGCAAACAGAATTGTTTTGCACTTTGGAAGAGTAGTGAGACACGCCCTCCCACAGTGTCTCGCCAAACCATTTGTCATTCAACCTTTCAACGAACCCTTCCCCAACTCACCTCTCTCTCCCTCGCCCGCCACTTCACGCCAGCCAGAAACAACGAAGAACAACAGCAAGCAGCAATGTGTGCTCACCAACTTGCTTCGCCACGACCTTGGGTGGACTTGTATGCAGAGGTGCACAAGCGCCCTGCACCACAAGGAGGCGGCAGCAACATCTTGGACAATCTGCTTCTGAGGCATGGGCTGTATGAAGTGGGTGAGTCGAAAGATGTGGGTTCACTGTTTGGTGTGGCTGGCCCAGCCCTGGACAGCTGGATTGAGCGGAACCACAACAGAATCGTCGACGTTGGCGACATCAGGGCTTTGAGGGTGTTCAAGGGCACCAGCAATCCATGCATGGAAGCCGTGCGTCTGTTGGCGGTAGCGGCGGAACTGCAGAAGACCATCCACGTGTACTCGTACTTGGCCGACGTGCCGTTCATTGTCCGACCACCACCTGGATACCCTCCATCATCAGAAGTGACAAAGATCATCCACCGCACAGACGGGCACTTTGCCAAAGCCAAATCAGTCTGGCTACGTGAAAAGATCCTGGTGCGAGCAACCTCAACGGTAGTGCCGTTTCGCTCTTGTGCCTCTTGTAGCCTTGCACGTCATCTCGGTGACCAGCGCGCCAGTTTGTTTGCTTGGCCATCTCACACCTTATTCCTTCATTCGCCCACGTGCTTGCGTGTTCTTGTTCTCCTTCAGGCCACACTCAAGAACTTTTTCCTTCGAGCTGGGAAGGGCAAAGTCATCATCAAAGGTGTTCTTGGAGTCCTTGGATTGATCCTTTTCATTGTCCTGACAGCATTGCTGCTCACATATGGCAGTCCCGGCACCTGTTCAGACATCAAACTCGAAAATACCAACGACACGATGGAGTAGAGTGAGGCATACAAGAACTACGCGCACTGCCTCGCCACACGAAGCCGATCGCTGTCCGCCTTGAGCACAAACTTTGGAATTCTGGGAGTGGTTATGGCCATCATGTTATCCCTCATCCAACATCGAAGGGGCCACAGTCTCATCAGATCGGGATGGCTGCTGGCGTGTTGGGTTATCCTGTGTTGTGTTGTCATTACATTCACGGTCGCATGGAGCGTCGTGCTGAGAGTTGCGTTCCCGGAGTGCCCGGACGTACATCAATACCCCAGCAAGATGGACGCTGACTACATCGAGGATCTGGTGACTTGTCGAGAGGCTCGCACGGAGTTCTTTGCGACATTGGCCGATGGCATCACAGCAACAATCGCAATCTTTGCGGTGAGCGTGGCCTTGGACAATGGTGGTGCCGAGGACTGATGGAATACCTCTCGTGTCAACAACACAATCAGAGAGGCCGTTCGGGTCGATGCCTGTGATGTGTAGTTATGTACCATTGACTGTTTCATGCTCCCATCTCGTAGTGTGGTGTGGTTGTGGAGTTGGCGGTGCGGTCGAAGGTTGTTGAGCTGAACTGTTGTACTCGTCTGTGTCATCGACTGCATGCTTGCTGAAACGCCTTGAGCAGGAGCTCACGACCCGTTCAAAATACCACAATAAACAACACGAACTCAGCTGACTGTTCTCACGCAAAGACGGGTGGACAGATCGCCGTGCCATCGAGCATGCGCTGAACACGCCACAACAACAAATGATACGACGCGCTATTCTTTGCTGCGAACCGCCAGCACACAGTCATTTGGTGCACCCCATCACGAACAGCCGAGCATGCGAATCTCGTCCGTCCCCAGCTCCCTGTCTGCAAGCGCTGCATACGCCGAGAGCGATACTGGTGGTGCAGCAGTGTTTGCCGATGGTGACGCCGCTGCGGCTTCTGTCGTTGTTGTTGATGACGGTGATGGGGTGAAGAAGACGACGATGAAGATGATGGTGATGCCATCAAGGGAGTCCGCGACAGAAGGGTGCCCCTGAACGGCCGTGGCGCTGTCGCTGTAGCCGTCGCCGCAGACATGAGGTAACGGCGGCACCGTGTTAGGAAAGGAAGGTGGACAAGCCCTACTGCTGCCGCTGTTTCTGCTGCCATCACAGCTGTTGTTGCTGTCGTTGCCGTTGCTGCAGATGAGGTCGAGATTTTGGCGGCTGCACTGCAATCCCGCTGCAGCGGTGGCAATGTGCTTGTGATGATTGGTGTTGTTGACAATGTCGGCACCATGGCATGCGTCAGGGACGGTGTCACTGCTGGCCCATGTACAGGTGCATGCAGTGCTGGTTGGAATGGGCGTGATGCCGCTCCCAAATAGTAGTTGCAGGAGTGGTGCCGCGTTCATTATGGTGGCGCTGTCGCGTGTGGTGTGGATGGATGTACCCTCTCTGCCATATCCTCTGCTTCGTGCACGAGCTCCTTGTCCTCTTCCTCGCCCACTTCAGCCACGCTCATCCCCAGTCTGCTCTCCTGCGGTCGCCCATGCTGTTTGACTGCGGGTGGTGGCAGCAATGTCCCATGTGTGCGTTTGTGTGCGAGTGCATGAGTGTGTGCATGCGTGTGATCGAGGAGGAGGAATAAAAGTGATGAACAGGGACGTGACTGCAGCCGGCTTACATTGTGTGCGCATGGAGGTCGAGCGTCGAGCAGGTGCTTGCATGAGAGTCGGGGAGGGGGGTAGTTCTTGTGGCAGACGCTTCCTGATATGGTAGCAGCAGGGTGGTGTGAAAGGTGGTCAGGTCGGATTGGAAGGTTGTGGTGGGTGGGAGCAGTCAGTGGAGTGAGTAGAGTGTATTGCATACACGCTGTCTTTCTACGCACACACACACACACACACACACACACACACACACACACACACACACACACACACACACACACAAAAACACACACACAAACACACTTGCTGTTTGTTGCCTTTGCCTGCCTGCTCCTTCTTCATGTGCAAACTCTCAAAGCAGCAGCAAGCTGAACACGTCCAGCACGTGTGTCATCTTCTTGAACCGCCATGTGTGCGACACAAAGAGCACGGTTCCATTGCCCACTGCATCGTGGAGTGGCTGCCACTGCTTGTGCAACAGATCAATAATACACGCACAGCAGCTGTCCCTCTTGTTGTACCACAACGACGACGAGCTGCTTGCTGGCTGGCTTGCGTGAACGCGAGGAAGGCGTTCTTTGTGATCGCATCCACAAACCAAACCATCCACGCAGTGTGCTTGCTTGTTTTCTGTCCTTTTGCTTTCTGTCCTTTGCTTCTTGTTATCAACAGTGGCGCTCACATTGACAAAACGCACCGCGCTGTTTGCTTCCTTCTTTTGCTTGCCATGTTGACAGAGAAGGAAAATCCTTGCGTTTCTGGCAACACCTGCCACCCGATTTGGAAGCACTTTCCCGCCCTGCAGCACAAAGAAAAAGATAAAACAACACAACAATACACAATACACCACAACAGTTATTGTGTTGTCGCACACACTCCACACTGCCGCAACAAGCCAGCCACCAACGCTTGCTCGCTCTGTTGCTCGCTCTGTCGCTTGCTTGCGACGCATGTGGACGCCATCTGTGCTCTTGTTCGCCTTCTTCCTCGTTTGCGTCACTGATGGCTCTTGCCACAGACACAGACAGGTGCACCACAGTGGTGGCAGGACCATGTGTTGTGCAAGAGAAAACGAGCGAGGCGGTTGATGGGCAGGATCACAGCTCTGGTTGACACAAGGTTGACACCTTCCCTTCCACATCAACACATCAACACCAGCCATCCATCCCACTGATGGACTCAAGTCAGTCAACGGGCATGGTGGACATGAACGGTGTGCTTGCACCAGTGCAGCAGTGGAGCACAGATGGTGCAGGAGCACCCATCAACCAATGGTGAGGACGCCTCATAGACACAACACACCATCGTGCGACACGTGACGTGCGTGACCTCAGCCAACCACAGAGATATGGCAACATGGCATGGGTGGCGGTGCAATGGCCGATAACAACAACAACAACAACAACAGCAAAAGCTTGACCTGTGCGCAGGGACGTGCATCTGTGCTCATCGTCGATCCCTGACATCCACCCCTGTTCGACGCAGCGACCACAATTCCAGCGATAAACGGCCTCATCTACATGCTGACTATCATCCCTTGCTGTAGACAAAGACAAGGCCCCTTATCAGCGACTGCAACACTCTATCCACTATCCTCGATTGATTCAAGAACCACCAACACAGCTGTCTGATGAAGCATGCCAGCTGAAAATGGCGTCATCCACAACGGCTGCATTCCACAAAGCACATTCTCTGGCACTCGTGGTGCGGGAGGCGACCTCACATGCATTCAACGACCTCATCTACAATGTCCCAGCCAGCAGATCACTCGACGACGCCGACGATGCCTGCGATCGACACAGCTCGACATGCAGCGATTACAGTGCAGTGGTCTGGCGGCGTGCTTGCGTCAAACGGCAACATCAACGACCAGCATCAGGAGGCGTGCTTGCTTGCTGTGAATGATGGCCTTGTCGACTGCATTCCTCCCGCCAACGCCGAGTATGTGCTTGTCATCGACCCAGGATGCTGGGGTGAAGACATGTTGTGCGTGCGCATGGGTGCTTGTCTTCTTCTCTACTTGTGTGTTCGCTTGCCTGCTCGTCTTGGATCTTCTTCGTGGGATGTGTTGCAGCGCCCTTCTGTTTCTTCTTCCACCACTTTGTTCTGTCTCCCTTCCCTCCTCCCTACTAGCCTGCAGCCACTTTGCACACCCACTGCTGCTGTTACTCCACCCCATTCTTGCTTCTGTCCCACGTCATCCTTTCCCTTCTCCTTTTCACCTTGTCTTCCTTTTTGTGCGCTCACCACCCTTGCCGCGTGTACTCCTTCCATGTTGCCGTGGCTCAAACCAACACAGTGAACCTGCAGCGTTTGCGACCATGTTGTGCACTTGCTCCTCATCGTGTGATGGAATCCACGACATCTTGTGCAACCACTACTTCAGAACATGCCCCTCATCACGAAGATCCCTTGCGTTTGGTGCTGAGCACTCACAGTGTCGCGAAGAAGGAGAGAGTCTTCTATCTTGTCTTCTTGTGGGTGGCCTCCATGATGAGCACGAGCAAGAGCAAGCTGCGCCTCACCCCTAGCTGGTTTGAGGTGGTCACTCCATCAACCAACACCAATGCGAGCTGTTGCTGCTGTTGTGTATTACCGCCACCTTGTGAACACCGCACGAAAAGACGGAACCGAACAACAGCGCAAGAATCAATGAAACTTGCAGGACATGCGCAATACGAGCACTTGAACACACACACACTCTCACACACACACACACACATACACACACACACACACACACACACACACACACACACACACACACGCTCTCTCGACACTGAATGGTGGACACGCTGGAGTCGGCCTTGATACACGAGCCGAGGCCCCTGCAGTCAAGCTGGGTGAGGTCCGTGTCCGTGACATCAAGGTATCCAGAAACGGTGGTGAGGGCTCCAAAGTTGATGGTGTTGAGGAGGCTGTTTGTGCTGCAGTCCAAGTAGCCGTCAATGCGGACGAGGGCAGAGCCAAAGTCGATGGAATCAAAGTCGTTGCCGCTGAGGTCCAAGTAGCCGCCCACGTGTGTGAGCTTGGGAAAGGTTACATTGCCGAGCTCGTTGAAGCTGAGGTCCAGGAAGCCGCCGATGTGGGTGAGGCTCTTGGAGTCAAAGGCGTCGAGTGAGTTCCAACCAATGTTCAGGCTGCCGCCCACGGTCGTGAGCTTGGCCATGTTGACGGTGTCAAACATACAACCGCCCAGGTTCAGGTCGCCGCCAACGCTGGTCAGGTTGCGTAGGTGGAGGGTGTCCGCGATGGTCCAGGCGAGATCCACGGAACCCGTGACACTGGTGAGCGATCCAAAGTCAACGCTGCCGATCGAGTTGTCAGTGAGGTTCAGGGATCCACCAATGGACGTCAGTGGCGTGAGGTCGATGCTCCCCAAACCGGTCTTGACAATGTCAAGGTCACCTCCAACATGTGTCAGCTTGCCAAAGTCAACGTTTGTGAGTGCGAGGTTGTAGCTGAGGTTGAGAGCGCCACTGATGGTGTTCAGGCCGCCAAAATGCAGCTTCTGGAACTCGTTGTACCACAGGTCGAATGTGCCTCCAACCGTGGTCAGGCTGCCGAACTTGATGGTGGTGAGCCGGTTGTAGCTGAGGTCGAGATTGCCACCAATAGACGCGACGCTGCCAAAGTCGAGCGTTGTCAGGTTGAGGTTGCGGCTCAGCACCACGTCGCCGCCCACCATGGAGACGTTTCCAAAGTTGGCAGTTGAAATGGCGCCGTGCTTGAAGCTGCCGCGGGCAACGACCGAGCCGTTGACGGTGGTAATGCTGCCAAAGCACAAGGCCGACACGTTACTGCCCGTGGTGGTCACTGTCACGTTTCCCGCAACGGCCTTGACAAAGCCTGGGATGTCGCTGCACCCGCAGTCCTTGACATTCTGCAGCGTGCTTGGCTTCTCCTGCTTCACGCGCTGCACTGACTTGGGATCTGTGCAATCCAACGACAAGCCCTGCAGTTGTTGGGAGAATGATAGGGAAGAGGGACACGTGTGTGTGTGTGTGTGTGCATGGGTGAGTGTGGGTGCATGGGTGAACGTGTGTGTGTGTGTGTGTGTGTGAGAGAGAGAGAGAGAGAGAGAGAGAGAGAGAGAGAGTGTGTGTGTGTGTGTGTGTGTGTGTGTGTGTGTGTGTGTGTGTGTGTGTGTGTGTGTGTGTGTGTGTGTGTGAGTGTGTGTGTGCATGGGTGAGTGTGGGTCAAGATACTGTGGTCGCAAGCATGCAAGGAAGCGAGTTGATCTAACCTGTGCATTCGCCACGACGACGATCACGAAGAGCAGCAGCGCAAGCAGCGCACTGGACATCGTGGTGGTGTGCTTCATCATCTTCGTTTTGGTTCTTTGTTTGTGCGTCGTGTTTGTGCGCCATTCCTTCTTCCTTCCAAAACCAAAACGCAGACACCAACCACCAGCAGCAGTACCCACAGCAACAGCAGCAGTACCAACAGCAGCAGCAACCGCCGCAGTACCAGCAGTACCCACAGCAGTACCCACAGCAGCAGCATCATGTGACGGTGGTGCACACGCAGCCGCGACGTGCGAGCGTCAACTTTGTGGTGCAGTTGGCCGTGCTGGCGCCCATCTCCGTGGCCTTGCTGGTGGGCGCCTACTTTGCCAGCATGTACTGCCTGATCTGGGTCATCGGCATCACCTTCTACACCCACTTTCTGATCCGGTACACGTCCGCTGCAAGCGAGGCGCCCATGCTGCTCAAGACGTGGCTCGTGGTTGGCTACGCGGTGGTGGTGGCCGCCTGCGCCACGGCGATTGTGTCCCTGCAGAACTTCTTCCAGTGTGTCTCGGACGGCTACGTGGACCCCTCGGACAGCGAGTGCAAGCGCGCCCTGCGCTTCTTCTACGTCTCGTGTGGCCTGTACGGCCTTGTCTATGCCGTCGACTTTCTGCTCGCCCTCAGCCACCTCCTGAAGCGTCGCGCAGTCAACGCTGGCGGATATTCGCAAGTGTGACGTGTGGGTTTCGTTGTGTGTGTGTGTGTCTGTGTGTGTGTGTGTGTGTGTGTGTGTGTGTGTGTTTGTTGAATGATGGCTTCTTGCGTTGTCCTGCTCTCCGTTGTCCTGTCCTCCCACTCTCCCGTTGTCCTGTTCTTCCCCTCTCCCGCTGTCCTGTCCGATGAGTGTCCTGCTTTTGTTTTCCCGTCCTCCTCCCCATCTCCACCTCTTCCTTTATCGCCTTTGCTCGCCACCCATGCGCGACTTGCACTGACCATCGTCGCAGCGTTGCCCTTGCCTGTCCTCTGCCTCGTGTTACCCCTCTTATGTCCAGCACTCTGAGTGCTGCGCTTCATTACAATTCCACCGATGAACATGACAGACAAGGGTGCATCTGCTTGAGTATTTGAGAGTCGTTCATGCAAGTCAGCACACACTTATGGAGAAGTGCGCACGTTGACAGCAGGTGCAGAGAGTGAGCAACACAGAATAACAAAGATGCAATTTGTGCGATGAGTGCGCGCAGATGCGACAACGACAACTGCCATGTGTTGGCAGTCGCTATGGTCGCAGTTGGTTGACATGTACATCACCATCATACACACACACACACGCACACTCACACCCCCCCCCCACACACACAGTCACACATTCACACGCACACACTCACTCACAACGCCCACTCGCTCTCGTGCTGATGGCACTGCACCATTCGGCAAGCATGGTCTCCCTCCCTGACCGCTCGTCCAGGCGGAAGACGAAGGTTCGCCCGGGAACGGCAACGTGCAGCTCCTGGCCGTCCCCCTGCGCAAGCTCAGCGGACAACACGGTTGCAAGAGGAATGCGTCCACGCTCTGCGAGCTGAGGCCCTCTGCTGTACACAAGGTGGCCACCCTCAAGCGAGCACCAGCGAAGGCGAAAGGCGGTGTTCCACAGCCCTCGCTTCTGCAACCAGCCGGCCAAGGGCGCACTGGCGTGTGCTGCACGCTGTTGCTGTGACTGGTCGGGTTGGCTTGTGCCTTGTGCACCATCGCCGCGAATACGCTGCAGGTTGCGCTCCGCTCTTTGGGTGAACGGGTGGCGTGGCCCGAGTGTGGCTGAGAAGACCTTGAGTGCCTGTTCCATGCACGTGCAAGCCTGGGACTTGTTGCCACAGTCGTCATGCACGAGGGCGATGTTGGCAAGTGCCATTGCCGTGTTTGGATGGTTTTCACCCAGCAAGGCTCCAAAGGCATCCTTCGCCTTCTCGTGGGACGCGATGGCTTTGGCGTACTCGCGCTTGCCAGCGTACGCGTTGCCCAAACTGTTGTAGGTGTCGGCTGTGCTCGGGTGCTTGTCGCCCAGCGTCGCCACTCTGATGGCGAGCGCCTTCTCGTCGTAACCGAGCGTCGCCCCGAATGGCTTCGAGGATCATGTCCTTGTAGCCTTGCCGCGCGGGTTGAAGGCCTTGGCGCGCTATGCTTGCACGCGCACCAAGGTATCGGTCAGTTGTCATGGATGGCGTCTTCCAGCGCCCGTTCTTCGCCGCTGCGATCTTTGTACCGTCATGCGTGCGACACAAGCACGGTGGCCTTGTTCACATGTTTGTGTGGTGACTGCTTCAGCTGCTTGCGCAAGAGGTCGACGTACGCGCAGTCGTGCTGGCGTGTGCGTGGCACCACGAGTTGCTTGCAGGCATCCCCCGTCGTCATCTCGGTGTACGTGTCGGGGAACTCGCTCTGCAGGTCTGCGAGGAAGGCCTTGGAGGTGTTGCTCACTGTCGACGTCAGCCATGCCTGTGCACTTGTGCAGGGGTGTGGGTGTCGTCCATGTTCTGCCGTGTTCTGCTGTGCGCGACGGCGATGGAAGGCTTGAAGGCTTGAAGGCGTGGGAAGTGGGGTAGCACCAAGTAATTGGCGAGAAAGCAAAGGTGGAGGTGTGCTCAAACACTCTCGCTCCTCCTAGCTCCTCTGCTCCTCGCTGTGCAAAACCCGCAATTGGCGTGCACTTGGATATCAGGCTCCTGTGACAGTTCCTGTGTCTTCCTCAATTCTCACAAGTCACACAATTTCCCACGAGCCAAAACATGAGGCGAGTTGCGAAGCAGTGCTCGCTTTTGCTTGCAGCACGGCTGGTGCTGTTGCTGGTGGTGTCTGTCTCCGTTGGTGGGCGCTGTGCCGTGTGCCGGGCTGAGGTTGTGTTGGAGCAGGACGTTGCAGGCGCATTCCACCTCAACACAAGCGATCCGTCAAGCCAGCCCGTGTTCGTGAACGGCCTGAACGTCAATGCAGCAATTAGCACGTTGCTAGAGACTGTCACTGCGCAACAGATCACCCTCGACGCACAACAAAGCATCAATACTGTTCTGCAAAGCACTATTGACGCACAGCAGATTACCATCGACGCACAGGAGAGCATCAATACTGTTCTGCAAAGCGCCATCGATGCACAGCAAAGCACCATCGACGCACAGCAGGGCCGGATTGATGCTCTGCGAGCAGAGGTGTGCCACGCAAACGCAAGCATCTTCGGAGGACAACTCAGCACGCTGACGTTCTTGTGGATAGGCGGTGTTCTCGCCAACAACGGCCTCATCTACGCTGCACCCTACAACTCGCCATCTGTGTTGATCGTCGACCCAAGCACCAACACCTTCGACACAACCACCATCTCTGGATTCTCGGACAGTGGGAACAAGTGGGCCGGAGCCGTTTTGGCGTCCAACGGCCTCATTTACATGTTCCCGTCCTTTGCAACCACGCTGCTCATCGTCGACCCCGACACCAACACTACTGACACCACAAGCATTGAGACGTCTGTTGATGGCAACAACAAGTGGTTTGGAGGTGTGGTGGCGGACAACGGCCTCATCTTCGGCATACCGTTTTTCGCCACGTCTGTGCTGATCGTCGATCCAGAAACGAACACCACTGACACCACGACCTTGGCTGGCCTTCCCTCTGACTCCAGCAAGTGGTATGGCGGTGTGCTCGCGCCCAACGGCCTCATCTACGGCATTCCCAACTCGGCAGCTTATGTCCTTGTCGTCGATCCAGTTGCCCTCACGACGGACATCACCACACTGGCTGGTTTAGACACTGCCTCCTTCAAATGGCGTGGTGCCGTGCTTGCACCAAACGGCCTCATCTACGCCATCCCAGAAATGGCTGCGGCGATGCTTGTCATTGATCCAGCCACCAACGCCACAGATGTGCTGGTTGTCGCTGACGAGGCAAGCTCGCGCAAGTGGCGAGGCGGTGCGCTCGCGCCCAACGGCAATATCATTGGCATTCCACACGACTCGGGGTCCGTCCTCATTGTCGACCCCGCCACCAACGCCACGGACACCACAACCATCACAGGCCTCAACGCCCTCGATGGATCCAGGAAGTGGAACGATGCTGTGCTCGCCAACAACGGCCTCATCTACGGCATCCCGAGCCATGCTGACACGGTGCTCGTCATCGACCCCGGCTGCTGACTTTGTGTTCACCTGGTCAAGTTATGCGCACTGTCCATCTCACATGAGCACATTCAGCGCTCTTTCTTCCTGCGTGCATGCTGTAAGAGTGTTACTTGTCTTCTCTTGATTTCTTCTCTCTGCGTTTTTGTCAGAGGGGCTGCTGTGCTGTTGTGGTTGTTCCAGCGTTCCCTTCCTGTGCCATCCTCCTATCCTCTCCACACGCGCTCTCCTTGCTGCTGTTTTGTGTTTGGTGTCAGCTCACTGTACTCTTCGAAGCGCGTCATTTGCTCGTTCAATGATTCGCGCTTCTATCCGTAGATCAGTCCACGCACAACCGTGCCCACGCCTTGCCTCTCTCTCGGCGTCGTGTGTCTGTGTGTGTGTGTTCACTGCCAATTGCTTTGTTTCTTGATTGTTTGCCCGCGTCCGCAACATGTCACCTCTGTTATGCTGGTGTTACCCTTGTGCTCGACCCATGTGCTTCTTGTGCTTGTCAATTCGACGCGTTTCCGTGCTCTGTTTCGAGTGACATGCTCTTCTGTTCATCGAGGGATGTGTTCTTCTGTTCATCGAATCCCCACCTCAGTACAAACACGTGTTAACACATCTTGATTACTGGCGCGGTCTACATTGAGGATTGAAACAGAAGAGAAGCGGAATGTTGGGCAGCAGAGTATGACGTACACATCGTGTGGCTGTGAACGCAAAGAAAGAGAGTCATGGAGGAGTGTGGTGGTTGTGTAACGTAAAGGAACGAAGAGGGTGTGTGCTTGGGTGCGTGTGTCACAGTTTCGTTTGCTTGAAGTGACAGCTGCAGAACTCCGTGGATGTGTTTGTGTGTGTGATGATGATGATGATGATGATGATGATTGAGTGATCCGGTGTGTGGCGTGGATGGCACAACAATACAGGTGAAGACGAAGAACACGAGAACAAAAGGAAACACGAGGCAACACGAGGCAAACAGGGAACGGAAGCAACGGAAAGGAGCAGGAAGGAACGGAAAGGAGTACGAGGGACAGGAGAGATGCAAGAAGAGCGGAAGGAAACACGGTGAACGGAAGGAAACAAGGTGAACGGAAGAACACACGAGAAGCGGAAGGAGTGAAAGTGTTGGCCGTAACCGCGATCCAACAGGATCGTGCCAACATGACACCAAGTAACCAAAAGAGAAACACGAGGGTGGAAAGCGCATTCGCACACGGCACGACACGCAGGAAAAGACCAACAAACGAACACAAACGAACGCACACACGAACGGACGAGAAACAGGGTCCCCAGGTCACCAACAAAAGAGAGAACGCATGGGCAGATCAGCACCCGGGGTCGATGACGAGGACGGACTCAGCCGAAAACGGAATGCCATAGACGAGGCCATTGTCAGCGAGCACGCCATCGAACCACTTGTAGGATCCAGCAAGACCGTCGATACTTGTGGTGTCAGTGGTGTTTGAACTTGGATCGATGATGAGAGCCGATGAGGCTCCGAGGGGGATGCCGACAATGTTGCCGTTGGGTGCGAGCACGCCGCCAGTCCATTTCGAAGGGCCTGAGCCCTGGGCAACAGGCAGCTCCTCGGCGATGTTGGTGGTCGGGTTGATGACGAGCGTGGTCGTGGCATGAAACGGGATTGTGAAGATCAGGCCGTTGCCTGCGAGCACGCCCCCATACCATTTCAGGTCCGATCCAAAGCCACTTATTGTCGTGAGGTCCATTGTGAAGGACTCTGGATTGATGATGAGGACAGAGGAAGCTGCCACGGGAATGCAGTAGATGAGGCCGTTGTCTGCTTGCACGCCCCCATACCATTTGTATTCCTGGCTCGACAGCCCAGCCAATGTTGTGGTGTCGGCTGTGTTGGTGTTGGGATCAATGATCAGCACAGAGCCCGCAGCGAATGGAATGCCAAAGATGAGTCCGTTGTCAGCCACCACACCGCTGTACCACTTGCGTTGACCGGAGCCAAGCGAGTGGATGCTTGTGGTGTCAGCGGTATTGGTGTCGGGGTCGATAATGAGCATCGTCTCCCTGTTTGCTGGGAACATGTAGATGAGGCCGTTGTGTGCCAGCACAGCACCCGCCCACTTTAGGATGTCTGTTCCGAGTCCGGAGATCGTGGTTGTGTCGAGTGTGTGGGTGCTGGGGTCGATGATGAGTACAGAAGGGGAGTTCCGAGGTGCAGCGTAGATCAGGCCGTTGTTGGCCAACACGGCACCAAGCCATTTGTATGTTGTTGAGCTAAGCTGGCCAAACGTCGTGGCACTTGGGGTGCACACTTTGCCACGGACACGGTCAATCGCCCTCTGCTGCTCCGACACGGTACTCATGAGCGTGCTGAGCGCCCCATGAACGTTGACGCCGTTCACAAACACGGGCTGGCTCGCTGGATCGCTCGTGTTGATGTGAAACGCACCTGCATCATCCTCCACCAGCGTCACCTCTCCAACAACGCTGCTGATGAGCGGCATAAAGCACACTGCCGCCGCCACCAGCAGCACGGGGAGCAGCACCATCCCACGTGCCTGCAGGCACCCCATCGTTCTCATCGGTGCCATCATACCCCAAGTGGGTGAAGAAGAGAGAAGAGGAGAGGAGAAGAAGAGTAGAAGAAGGAGTGTGCCTCCCTCCTTCCTCGTTCGCGTGTCTGTTCGCAGGACAGGCGCAGCACCAAGAGAAGACAGGATTGGTTCGTTGTTTGTGGTTGTTTGTGGCGTTTTGGCTGGTTGTGGTTGTGGACGATTGTTGGGAATCGTGCATTGGATTTCCAGCCACACACAAGCAAGCAAGTTCACTGTTGTGTGTGTACATCATGTTGTGGAAAGGAGCACGTTGAAACCCCTTGAGACAGCCTTCCATCCATCCATCCATCCATCCATCCCTCAGCCTTCCTTCATCACCTCATCACTGGACCAACAAGGACAGAGCACACACGGCACACAGCTTCATCACGCAGTGCAGAAGAAGGGCGTGAGTTGAACACATGTGAAGGAGGCAGCCATCGTGACTGAAGAATACACTGTTCATCCAAAGGTGCGTGTGTGTGTGTGAGGTCATTCCATTACATTGCATTGCATTGCATTGCTCAGCCTTGTGTGCTCAACACACGTAAGCGCATACGCACACATACACACACTCGCTCACTCACTCGCCTGCAACGCGCCCTTCCTCGTCACAGATCCGTGCAGCGTTGCAAGGCTCATGAATCGTACATGCTGACCCCCGACAAAAGCCCCCATTGCCGCCCATTTCACTTTCGACGACGTTGTCTGCATCGCCAAGGAGCAAAAGGTGTGTGTGTGTGCGCGTATGTGTGGTTAAGAAGCGTACCTGTGTAGTGATCTACAGCACTCATCATCACCTACATCCGACCTCATGCCCATGCACACGCGCATCCCATTTGTGTTTTCAGGTGGTTGAGATTGCCCCTGCCCCGCACCTCCGATGTGCGCCAACAGCTCTGCCAGGTTTGCCTCATGTGCATGTGCATGTGTGTGTGCTTGTGCTTGTGCTGCGGTCACAACAAACGCAGCTCACCTGTGATCGTCCCTCAACCCTCTTCCTCTCCTCCCTCCCACGTCTCTCCTTCCATTCCTCCTCCCACCCCCTCTCCTGCCCTCAGGACGCTGTTGCGATGGGCCGCTCCCTCAACCACCGCAACACCGGCACCGTCGAGTTCCTCGTCGACACATCCGATGGCCGGTGAGCCAGTGTAGCAGTGTGGTGTTGGGGTGTTGGGGTGGAGATGTAGGTGTTGTGGTGCGTTGTGTTGCGTGCATGCACTCGTTTTGTGTTGACAAACACTACCGCACCTGCCCCAACGCTCATGCCGATCACCCAACGTGCGCAATGTGGTGCAGCCATTGTTTCGTGGAGGTGAACCTACGCATCCAAGACGCGGGGATGGTGAGCTGTGGTGGTCTGTTGAAGCAGCACTGTCGATGGTACTTTGCCCACTTTGACGTTTGTGGCGTACTCGTCTGCTTCATTCCTCCCACCTCACTGACACTTCCTCCATCATCTCCTTCCTCTCCTTCTCCCTCCTTTATTCTCTCCACCAGGTGACCTTGTGCAATCGCAGCTGATGCTTGCTAGCGGCGCGACGCTGGAACATCTCGAGCTCGAACAGGACACAATCCCCGCCTGTTGATTCAGCATCCAGGCGTGCATCACCACGGATGACCCGCTCAACGATTTTGCCCCGATACAGGTGCACATGCGCTTGCGTGCGTGTGTTGGATTGAAGGATGAGAGAGCGAAGATTGATAGAAGCTCGTGTTTCCTCTTGGAAAGGGGCACCAGTGGCGGGTGTAAGGTCCCAAAGGCACGATTCTCCTTCTCAACACTTCTTACCCCTCGTCACCCATCATCACCCACGACCATGCGCAGCGGAACGAGCCATTCACCCGGCAGCCGCCAGTTGGCCACGAACCGGAGCCATACACAACAGCAGCACCACCACTGGCACATGGCGACGAGGGTGATGGAGAGGAGGCGTCGCTTGGGCCGTTTGACGTGCTCGTGTACCACATGGGCATGCTTGAGCTGGTGCGCGCGCTCCTTGGCAAGCAGCAGGCATCATCAGCATTTCACCGCTGGACGAACATCAGGGGCAGGTGGTCCGCGTCAGGTGAGCTGCTGCTGACTGGTTGGAGGTGATGGTGGTGATGGGTGGGGTGGTAGTAATGTGGTAATGTTGTGGGTTTGTAACCGGTTGAGGAGGTGTTTGTTGCATGCGAGGATCATGATGGGAATGACGACATGTGGTGACGGGTAATGGCGCGAGGATGCGACTGTCAAGTTCTCATCATGCTTGTGTAATCCCTGTCTACATCCCGCACCGATACACCCTCAACTCACTCAAACACACACACACACACACACATGTGCAGCTGCGCGACGCGTAAGGTTGGCGAGCGCCTCCTGAGGGAGATGACGAACTTCCCTATTGGGCAGGTGCAGCGGACGGCCCGCCGCGACCGGGACTGCCCCGCCTGGACGGCGGACGAGCTGTGGTCCGTGTGGGTCGAGCCCGTGCCCGAAGGTCTTGAGGAGGTGTTGCCCTCGCTCGCCAAGGCAAACAGTGGCTTTCACTCCCACACGTACAAGCGGCACGGCAACCGCGTCAGGGGCATATTCAGGTAGGCGATGTGCGTGTGTGTGTGTGTGTGTGTGTGTGTGTGTGTACGTGCATGCACAGATGCTCCTGCAACTTCATTCTGCATGAGCATGCGTGCGCTTCCCTCAACCACGTCCTCAACCAACCAACCAACTCCCCCTGCAACAGGTTTGTGTCACGGGAGAGCGCGGAGCTGATGGTCCGCCTGTACGACCAGCGGGAGGTGCTGGGCACGAAGCTCAACGTGTTCCCAGACCCAAAGGCAAAGAACTGGAAGAGCAAGGGCAAGGACTCCACGTCCTCCTCCCCTGCGTCCCCAACATCCATCACGCCGGCGCCTGTTGCGGGCCAGGCAAAGCGCATCACGTTCTACCTGACCGAGGCAGGCAGGAAGCGTGACAGCAAAAGGCCTGACTGCCGCCATGTCCTGGCCAACCGACACGTACCGCAGCGTGCAGGCGACGCTGGAGCGCGCCGGCGTCAACTTCCAGTCGCTGCAGGTCTTCCCGGACCTGCGCTGTGCGAGCGTGGACGGGGTTGCCGACAGCGAGGAGACGTTTCGGAGCCTGCTGCCACTGCCCATTGACACGGCAGCGAGCGCCTGTCGTCTGGAGGCGCGGCACGCACCGCTGCACCGCATTGTCGTCACCTGTACCTTGCACAGCAAGCCCACCACGGGCCGCGACATTGTGCAGGCGTTTGAGTTGGTGGCAAGGCGAAGCTTGTGCCCATCCCACAGTCCCTCGAGGACACGCTGTCCCACATCCAGCCGTTTGCCAACACCCGCATAACTGAACAAGAACAAGAACAAGGGGAACAGCAGCAGCAGGATGGTGGAGGTGATAGTGAGGCACATGATGTTGCTGCCAAGCCCACGGCTGTGCACGACCCTCATCAGTACAAGAAAGATGGCGATGCTGGCAGTGACTACAGCAAGAACCGCAGTTCGTCCTCTGAGACCACACTGCAGCGCGTGTTTGTGCTGGAGACAACGGACACGCGTGCGGCGCATGCGTGCGTGCGCAAGATGCAGTTTGCCACCTCCGTCTCGCACACGTTTGTGGCGCGGCTGTGCTACCCGAACGACATGCACGTGGCGGTGCTCGACCCCAAGCTGGGCGGCCTCCTGTCGGACCTCGTCGACGCATTCAACAAGAGCAGCGTGTCCAAGGACTTGAATGTGCTGGCGGCTGCAACTATGGGCAACCGCATCTGCTTCACGGGCAGTACCGCCGTGCTGGTGTGGTCGCAGGCCAAGCTGCTTGCAAGCTTACTCGCGCCGACCTTCCACCCGTGTGCCCGCAGCGACCGCGTGCTGGGCGACGACAAGATCATGGAGCACGTGCTGAACGACTACGGCCTCAAGCTCGTGCGCTACCCGACGCTTGGCCTGCTGCCCTACGCAGACACGACACACGGGGCCATGCGGGATGTGGAGTTTGTGCGGCCGCCGCCCGTCACCAGCACCCCGCCCATCGCATCGCCCGTGGCACCCCAGCAGGCGCTGATACACACGTGCGACCTGGACGGCGCCATGCTGCTGGAGTACTCGCTGTACTACTACCTGGATCAGGACAGGGAGCGCGGGCTCAGCTACATCAACAGCACCGTCGGCGCCAACATCAAGTCGCAGACAACGATCAGCGTCACGGGCATGCAATACCGCTTCCTACATTCGCAGCTGCTGGAGCTGGCCCGAAGTTCCGCGTGTATGTGTGCAAGCCCAGCGCGGAGGACAGGGACGCGTGCGCCTCGAGCGTGCCCGTGACCGTGGAGGGCATGCAGCGGCAGCTGACGGCGTTTGACAACGCGGTGCAGGACACCCTCAAGGAGTACCTGTGCCACGTGCTCGACCTTCCGGTCATTGACACGTCGCACGTGCCGGAGATGTCCGAGGCAGACGTCACCTTCCTGAAGCGCAAGCTGTTCAACTATCTCACCAAGGCCAGCCGCACGCTGTGCCGCAAGCAGGACGGCGTGGTGAGCTACGTTGCGCCGCAGGACGTGATTGGCACGCCCACTGAGCGCAATGTGTGGATGGATGGTGGCTGGCCGCCGCGATGTGATGCAGACGGTCATCCCTACGATGGAGTCGACGTTCCGCACCATCGCCCACATCCGGCCCACACGCTACGTGTGCCAGGTGCCCATGTCCGTGGCCAAGGAGTTGGTTGCTGGACAGCGAGCTGAAGCGGCTGCGCAAGAAGGCGTTGGTGCTGATGCCGGTTATACCGCAAGCACGGGCGCTGCTTCTGTCACTTCAGACGGCGCTCTTCCTGTTGTACCGAGATGTCGGTAGTGTAAGTAGTGTAATGTGAAAGTAGACAAGACGAGAGGTGAATGAATCAAACAAACATCAAGTGAACAAACAACAAGTGAGACAGGTGAACAACAAGTGAGACAGGTGAACAACAAGTACACGTGGCAGCCATCTTGCATGCGTGCAAGTTGATGTAAGATTGCATGCATGCAAGTGGTTGGGTATGTTGTGTGAAAGCTGAGTCAGCATTTCACACAACAGTTGTGGTGTCGGCTGTGTTGGTGTTGGGATCAATGATCAGCACAGAGCCCGCAGCGAATGGAATGCCAAAGATGAGTCCGTTGTCAGCCACCACACCGCTGTACCACTTGCGTTGACCGGAGCCAAGCGAGTGGATGCTTGTGGTGTCAGCGGTATTGGTGTCGGGGTCGATAATGAGCATCGTCTCCCTGTTTGCTGGGAACATGTAGATGAGGCCGTTGTGTGCCAGCACAGCACCCGCCCACTTTAGGATGTCTGTTCCGAGTCCGGAGATCGTGGTTGTGTCAGCGGTGTTGGTTCTGGGATCGATGATAAGCACAGAAGGCGAGTTGTATGGTGCCGCGTAGATCAGGCCGTTGTTCGCCAATACACCGCCACGCCATTTGGCTGTTGTTGAGCCAAGCTGTCCGAACGTGCTGGCAGTCGCCTCACACACCCTGCCTCGAAGAGCATCGATCGTGCTCTGCTGGGATTGAAGCGTGCTGTTCTGTGCTGCGATCATGCTCTGGTGTGCTTGCACCGTTGATTGGTACGCCTGAATCATGCTCTGTTGTGCCACCACGGTTCCACGCAGCGTTTGCATCTCCGAAACAACGTTCACGCCATTCAGGAACACGGGCTGGGTCGCTGGGTCACTCGAGTTGATGTGCACGGCGCCGCTGTCATCTTGCGCCAGCTTGGCCCTGTTTGGTGTTGGTGGTGTGGTGATGGCCTCAACACTGCACGCGCACACAGCCAAGAACACGACAAAGACAGCTCTGAAAAGGACAACACCCGCCATTTTGATGATGAAGTGCTGAGGAGGAGGAGGAAGCTTCGACTTGCTTGCTCTTGGGGTTTGTGTTGGTGTGAAGTCGGGAAGAGTTGTGAATGATATGCGCCACTTTTCAAGCCAAAGGCAACAGTGCGCAACAAAGAACAGACATGAGCGCAGTGCACCGCTCCACGCCAACCACGACCTCGACTGTGGACGACAAGGTAACACGCCTGCACGCTGCCTTGTGGTTGTTACTTCTCGCCGTTGAGGGGCTCAGGGAAGAACAATAGCCGTCCCATCACTAACTCCTTTCTGCGCGCTTCTCTTTCCTTTGCTGTGCGCCTTTGTTTGTTTGTTGACAACCAGGACCAGGCGACATGGTCTCGGGTGGCACGGGAGTGGTGGGACTTGAATGGGCCCATGCGCCCACTGCATCACATGAACCCGGCGCGCGTCAAGTACATTACTCAGCAAACCCTCCACCACTTTGCACGCCAAGACACCCTATCGCCATCCAGGCTTGAAGACCTTTGCGCCTCGTACTCTTCTCATCTTCAGCGTGAGTGGACGCATGCGTGTGCGTGTGTATGACGGTGTTTGTGTGTGTGTGTGTGTGTGTGTATGACGGTGTTTGTGTGTGTGTGTGTGCTTGCGTATGACTGTGCAAATGCGCGCGCGTGTGTGTGTATGCGTATGACTGTGTATGCGCCTGAGTACAGGCCCATGCGTTTGAGAAAACTCGTTTGTGTCTCTCGTTGTACGTGCCGTTGTGTGAAAGCTTGCCTAACATTGGCTGTAATCTCACGCTTGCCGCCACGGCTGGTTATCTCCTCCTGAATCTAATGCAACGCCCCACCCGCCCTTCAACACGTGCAGAGGTACAGGACGCAGGTATTGATTACTGTGCCAAGCTGTCGCAGGTGGCGGCTGGTACCCTCTCGCCTCCAAGCGATGCTCCGCTCCGGGGCCTAACGATGCTGGACGTTGGCTGTGGCGCCGGCATCGTCGCAGAGCACCTGGCATATCTTGGTGAGCATCCCTGGCACAGGCAACGAAGCACATAATACCGCCTTTCATCAACAGCACCCCTCCCCTTCTCCTTGTTTTCATTTTTGCATTCTGTGCTGCGCCAAGCATAACCAGCGAGTGCCTTGCCATGTTCGCAGGGGCGGATGTTGTTGGCGTTGACTCCACGCCGGAGACGCCGCCTGTTGGCCGCGTGCACGCCAAGGCCATGGGGCTCGACCTCGAGTACATCCATGGCACGACAGATGACCTCGTTGCCCAGCACAGGCAGTTTGACGTCGGTGCGTCTCGTGTGTGTGTGTGTGTGTGTGTGTGTGTGTGTGTGTGTGTGTGTGCATGTGTGTGTTGGATGACCGCATCATGCTGAGAGGGCGCATGTACGTACGCACACACGTCTACACACACACAAACACACACACACACACACATTCACTCACAATATCACACCTCCTCCCCTTTACCGCAGTCTGCTGTCTGGAAGTTGTGGAGCACGTGACAGACGTCGACCACTTTGTTGCGGGCCTCGCAAAGTAAGGTTCAGTTGTTGTTTCGTTTGACCGTGCTGCTGTTGTTGCTGCTGCTGAAGTCTATCCCGCCCCCGCCTCATACTGACCTCACGCCACCTTCCTCGTGTCTTGCTCTCATCGTCCGACCACGTTTCAGGTTGGTGCGCCCCGGTGGTTTGCTCATCATGTCGACGCCCAACAGAACAATCCTCAGCTACCTCTCCGTCATCATCGCCGCGGAGCGTATTCTTGGTGCGCATGTGT